TATACATACATCAATGGTCGCAATACGAGACCAGACATGAGGCGGCAGCGTTCAGTACGGTTTATTCGGCTTTTTCTCTCTCTCTCTCTAACTTCTCTTCTCTTCTCTTCTCTTCCATATCGCACGTATATGTTCATTGGCACTTCTTTACCTGTATCGTACGTGTAGCAACGATCGACAACGAAATAATATGTCCTTCTTCGTCTTCTTCGTATTGCTAATCTTTTTGTAACCACAAAGTCTTTTTCTCTCTCTTTTTCTTTCGCTCTCTCTCTCTCTCTCGCTTTCTGTCTATCAAGCAAACGAACCAGCCTGATAAGTACTGCACAATCATACACATACGTATCAAGATGACATATAAAAAAGAAGGGGAAGAGAGAGAGAGATGCAAAAAGAAAATAAAAGATGAAGAAAAAGAAGAAGAGGAGAGACCATCTCTACATATATTTACCTTTTGAAATCGAAGAATAACGAAATGTTTCATCGTCTTTCAAAGGCAGGATATATATGCAGACGTATGTATGCATATGATGTCGGAGGTAAATGGAAACATATGATGAAGTCGAACTATTCTCCTTTCTATATTCAAATATCTTCAATAATCACAACAATGTATATAATGATGAAGTTGAAATTATACTTCATCATTTCATATACTTGTACGTATATGTTCATTGAATGAATATATATATATACATGTATGTCGCGCACTTTGTCTTACTCATATAGAAAAGGTCGTCGACATCTTACTCATTTCATCTTCTCCATCTCCACGTAAACAGAATGCAAATTGAAAAAATACGATTAAGAATGAATAAATGCGATAAGCAAGTAAACAAAGACAAAAACAAATTGACAGTCGACGACGTGCTAATTTCATATCTTAATCCTACACATGTCTGTCTATGTCTGACTGACTGTTTTCTTCACTTCGTGTTGTCCACTACTCAAGGTTTGTCCTTCATCGTACACCTAAGTAAATCAGATAAGATAATAAAAAAAATGTGCTGTAGAAGGAAAAAAAAACGGAGAAAACTAGGCGTTTTCGAATGACTATTTCGATTGAAAACATCAAGACGAAACGATTTCGAAGTGAAAGGAAAAAAGCTGAGACAGAAAGAGAAAAAATGATTCTGATTTGAATGAGTAAATATTGACGCACATAAGTGGAGTGGCGAACAGTACGTGGTACGCTTCGGTAAGTTATTGACTGATCCTCTTCGTGTCACACGGCATGGCAATGCAAGAGGAGAAAAAGAAGTACTGAACTAGCAGGTTCGTCGTTCGCGATGCTGTTGACCACACACATACATACACGCATTGAGAGAAATGATTATGACGATCGGAATACGACTTGATAAGTGAAAAGAAGAAAAATATTTACGACACCATACAATTGTACACGTACTGTGGACAATAAATTGACGATGATTCGAACAAGCGAATCGTAAAATACCGTTTGTGACAACATGTTAAAAAAAAAAGAAGGAGAGAGATTTGTGGTTTCGAATGTTCCGATTGTGTCATCGAATGCGTTCGCGCGCGCCAAGATGTATTGAATTCGTTCGCCGCCATAGTCTTACATCACCTGCAATCTGATTAACTCTCCCTCTCTCTCTCTCGTTCTTTTCTTTTCTTTTTTTACCCTCTCTTATTTTCATTTGACTTGGCACAAAGCGTGAATATTACGCAAATCTTGAGAAGAAGGAAAAAATCAACGCGTGATTTTATATATATAATGAAAAGTACCGAAAGACGGAATAAAAGTAGAAAAAAAAATGTTAATGCACAATGAATATAAGTCTATACAAACATCAATCAACATCAGTATTTTTTCTTATTTTCAATTAATAGTATTTTCGTTCATTTTTCTTTCTCTTTCTCTTTTCGACGATAGCAAAACAATAACAATCATAATTAGAATAGGGCTAGAGAATTGTTGACCTGTTAAATTCGGTGAACACTCGATCGATTTAAAAATGCAAATGAACCCATCTGATTTTCATTAAAGAGTACTCTACATTCCTCTCGCAGAAATACCTGTCACTGATTCACAGACATATATGTTACCGCTGAATAATATTCAGAATTATAAAAATCTCTTTCTCTCTCCTTCGCGTTCGATTGCTTTATAGACTGACTATAAAATTTGAAACTCGAACGATTGTCAACAATGCAACGAAGTAAGGATTGTTATTGCTTCGAAAATATACTATATCCTTCTTCTTCTTTTTTTTGCATACGTAGTCTTGATTTCTTTGGTTAAATAATACTACCTATATGCGATCGTATGTTTGAAAGTTTGCCTGTATGCACTAGCAGATGAATGATCGAATCGATTTTTCAAAATTCCACGTGAATGGACAGCGGATACTCAAAATAGGAACTAGAGAGACAAAACAAATGTCGTATAGGGGTGCTTTTTCTTACCGCCAACGTCGTCATCATAGTTCACGTTCTTCCTTCTGTTCTTTCTCTTTTTTTTTACATACGCGTGTATATAATAATATTGACGCGAGTTGCAACAGCAGCAGTCGTAGTAGTCGCAGCAGAAAATGGTGTCGACAGGCAGCCAACACATACAGGACTGTCTTTTTTTAAAAAACACACACAAGTCGCAAAAAAAACGACAAAGAAGGAGAAGAGAAATCGAACATTATATGCAATAAGATGAATGTTCTTTCTTTTTCTTTATCTTTCCTCATGCTTTCAACACCATCAACATCATTATTTCTACTTTTCTTTTGCACTTTTTTCTCTTTTCTTTAATAGCACTACATGGGTTTTGTTCTGTTAAAAAAAAAAGAAGGACTCCTAAATGATAAGTGTGTCATAGCCGAAGAACGTGGTTGTCGTTGGTTCTTTTTTCTTTGTTAATAAAAAAAAAAGAAAAAGAAGAAGAAGAAGAAGAACACGAGCGTGTCAAGGATAGTTGAAACACACAAACACACACAGAAGCAAGCTGTTGGTCATCAGTTTGATTTTGTCACCGATAAAACTTTATCAATATCCTTGAGAGAGACATTCGCTGAGCCACGTTTCGCCGGACTTTTCTAAAATAGAAGAAAAAAGTGCATGCATATATAAAATCTTCTTCGCGATTTTATGATTGTCAAAAGCAAATAAAATAATTCACTTGACTAGGATCTGGCTTCCAACCAATAAAATAAAGTATACGATATGTAGCCGGGATTGATCCATCTTGGTTACCATACATGTCTACATAAAACAAAAAAACAAGCTAGTTATCTTTATGTATATATGAGAATTTATGGTGAGATCTTAAAAGCATATCAACTATAAACGAGCGATTATGTGTATATGATCGGTATCGTAAATTCTGAGATAAGCTTACTTCGATAGATGGCTTGAGCGGCTAGAAGAGTTTCGCGTTTCAGCGTGAGACGCCGATTCCAACTACAATTATTTTCACCCATGCCTAAAAAAATAGTTAAGGCAAATAACAAATGAAAATTCAATTAAAATTCATCAATATTGATATGACCTTTGAGATCAAACATTAATTCGAACATTGAAGGATAATCAATATGAATTTCATCCAGATCCTACTAGAATAGGCTCGTTCTTCATAATCATACGAAGAAAAACATCACTCGATTCACGCACTAGTGTGACGATGTTGTAACCGGTACGTTGAAGAAGACTGCCGATATCAGGTGGTTCAACAAATGGTGAAACATGAGGCGAGAAACCCTTTGAATGAACAAAAAAAGAATAAAATAAGATTAATTTCATTTTCTTACTCCTTCACGTTCAGTTTCTGCTAATTGTAATGCAACACGAAGTTCATACAAAGTATCGGAAGCATACATGGCACCTTGAAAAGATTGACTTTCTAAATCTTTCAAAGAAATTCGATTTTTTTACCAACGAATGGTGCGTCCTTCTTTAACATATGTAACACTCGACGAAAAACACCAGGAAGATCATTAATCCAATGAAGATTCAAACAACTATAAACTAAATCATACGAATTTTCATCTCCACTGAATTGTTCGTCGTCGAACTGCCGTTTCACAATCTCCATTCCATCGTGTCCGTTTTCTTCGACAGGTGGGCGGATCTGATCAAGCATACGTGCCGAATTATCGATCATTGTCAAGCGTTTAATAACATCTTTGGTCAATTCACTCGCGGTCAGGCCACGTCCACAGCCAAGATCAAGTGCGGAATGAAATGTTCTACGAACAATCAAATGTGAACATAGATCAAATATTGACAGTTCATTCTACCGTTTTATATCAAATATTCGATCGACAAGGCTTTGCGCAACACGTTCATGTACATATGAATAGACTTGATGCTCAGGATCAAGACAAGTGCGTTCACGTTGTTTGAATTTCGTTTGTCGATCGAAAACGTTCGGAATTGCTTCTTGCCGTTGACATGTTTTTCTACCGATCGAAAAGTTCCGACGAAAACTGTTTAGATTTCGTTGAGTTGTTTGTACAACATTGGTCAAAGAAAACCTCATCTAAAAAAATATACGTATACATATTGGGTTTCATTTTCTTCCCTTGAATTCGATTTCCACTAATAATGACAAGGTTTCATTTTAACATGATTGGCTAAAGTGAACTTCTTCAGAGATCCATTCGGATGATCAAGCATCCGATGAAATCTAAGCCGTAGATGTGCAAAACGTTCGATGTTAATAAAACTGACAAAAAATTCGATAATATTTGTCAAGGTTTTACAAATACTTTTCAAACGATTTCTTTCCACGTGAATTAGATCGAAGAAAAAAAGGTGAGACTTTCACTAAATTTGTTTATTTTCTTTAAAGGACTTATTATCTAATACACACACGCAAACACTTGTATATATATACAAATATAAAGAAAATAGAAACATATATTTTTTTTAAAACAGAATCGAGAAAAAAAAGAGAGGAAATCTTTTAAAAAGAAATGGACGTATATCATCGATGATTTGTTTTGTTTTCGAAACAGAATCATGAGCACCTTTCATATTCTTCATTAATCATTCTTTTCAGGTAATTCATTGATTGTGTTGATTGAGTATTGAGGAATTTTAACAAAACTAACACGTCCTTTCTTGTCATTTCCATACTGACCATTGTTAGTATCAACAGATTCAACACTAAAACGATTTATCGCTACTACAATAGAGAATAATCATGATGATCTTTTCAAAAGGAAGTCTTCATCTATCACAAACCATCGGATGGCAATGGCGGTAGCGTAAGCATGGCAGTTGGTTCAGTCGATAGAAATTTCACAGTTGAACCAGTCATTTTGCCAATAAAATCATCGAGAATCTTATAATTGAGATTAGTATTCAATGTTTCTAATGGCGCGAGAACAACCGTTTCCGGACAGATTACTAAAAATAACAAAGAAAGTGAAATAGACGAAGAAAAACTGTCAACCGTGCTCTCTTCCGTATACTTTTTTTAATGTCTTGAGAAAAGGAATGCTTAAAGAAGCAATTAGACATGCGCTATTATATAAAGAAGATGATTAGTTACATAATAATTTCTTAACGAAGTAATTGAGCAATGAGTACGGGTGAAATTATTTTGCACTTTCACTGTTTCTTAATGTGTAGGGTTAATGAGAACATTCTCACACCTACCGTTTTTGGTCCGAATAGAACGAGAAATGTCATTTTAATTTGATCGACAAGACATCGCTCGTCATTCGATTTTCATGGGAGAAACTCGTTTAAGTGTCATTAATATCGAGCTTAAAGGCAAGGTGAACATTTAATTATGAGTATATACATACATCCAGCTTGTTTTCGTTCGAGTAATTTATTTAGATCGGGTGTTGATTTTGCACCACTAATCACTCGAGTGCTGAAGATACTTGTCAGTGGAACGTAGTTTACTAAAAACAGAAAAGATGTCGCATGGAGTTTTCAAATCGATTCAGCATACGTATTCGTTTATCGGATAAACCACCGTGAATTGTATTGTAATAATTGTGTGTTAAGATTGATTCTAAAATGATATAGAAAATATAGATACAATGTCCACAGAAAAAAGAAACTCATCAAGCCATCGTTCTAGAGATTAGCAGTTAACAATAGGGGAGAAATTGAAGAGTTACTCAAACATTGTTATATAGAGATATGTATATGTAAGTGTATCAAACAGAGAGGTTCATTCAAAAATAGATGAGCAGGGTGAGCATGAATCAAACATAGTAGAGTTCGTTTTTTTTTCTGTCTCACACTCCATACATAAAACAATGTACCCGAATTTCGTCGGGAGAGTTCAGAATTATATAATAGACTTAGTTGAGCATGACTTTTTGATGGACAAATACCAAGTATTGTATTGGATTTACATCGTATCTCCGATGAAAATACAGGTGATGGTTCGGACTGTTGTCCGGTTAAGTCTAGAAGTATGAATATGAAGCAAGAACATCCACTATTTCTAGTTTTGTTTTTCGAGGAACGTCACTGTAACAGTACTCGTACATTTTCGTTCGAGAAGAAAACAATAGATTTGTACCGAATGAACGCAAACAAACTTACGTTGTAGTTTTGATTCACTATTGTCTAGGGACTTGGGTTTCAGTAAGTAATTATCATAGTGAGACGAACCTTGAGGGAAAAATTTGTAATTAAGTACGTGCTTTTTGAGAAAAGTATATAAACCTACGTGGTACAGACGTTGAATGTATTTCTTCATAGTCAGTTGGTTCTGACGAGCAGCTCGGTATGATTCCATCGCTATTTCGATGATAGTTTTTCGTTGCATGCGATTCTTTAATCATCTTTGGATTCGTTTTTTCCGTCGTCATTGGCGGAGAGGCACAATCAACAGTGATTATTGTCGGAACAGGATTGATCACTTTCGGTGATGATGTCGCATTCGTTGATTCTATCAGTAATGCTTTTGTCTGATCTCGTGGTGGACTGTGGGCTGCTTCGCGATTACTCTTTGGTAGTACTGTACGAATTGTATTCACATCAGAAGTAACTGAATCAATCTAAGAAAGAAAACGATAGAAGGAGAGATTTAAAATGAAGTTCGATGAAATACATCAGGTGGAACATCGAAGCAACCATAGGCACCCGGTGAAAAGTGCAATTCAACATGAAAGCGTTTCTCCGAATCCATTTCTTCACTTGAATCTTCGTATAACATGATAACAATCTGTGTCAAATAGTTCAATTCGGAGACTGTTTCGAGATAACTCATTGATCGCTTCCATTGTTCATCGGCATGCGTCTAAAAATATTCGAATATTTTCTTTCATGTTCACGTAACATCTTTTCTAATTACATCCAATAAACCACCGTAACGAATAATCGTCAGAAGAGAATGCACATGTGATTCGCTAGTGAAGTACAATCGAGTACGAACATGTCGGCCTGGAGTTTGAATGCCTTTCGAACAACTAAACAAAAACAAATACATTTTTCCTTGACAAGAATTCTTTCTCGCTGGCTAGATCTTTATTATCTTTCGATTGCTGTCAAGAGTTCAAGCAGTACAAATATACCTTTTCTTATCTGAACTTAGTTGATTCAAATATCTACGGAACGTTCAATGGATTCGAGAGAAATTCCATTTGAAAGAAGGACATTTTCAATAGGCTATACATACCTTGGATCCAATTTATTGACATGTTCGTCATGAGTCAATACGCCGGTCAGATTACATTGTAGGTCTAAAATGAATCGTGGAAAGAATTTGTATTCTTTTCAATTTGAACATTTGATTTATTATCCAGGCATTTAATCAAGAACATGCAACTTATTATTTTTTAGTTGACAGAACGGAGGTTGGTCAATATACAAGTTAATGAAGCAATTATGATTCGTGATTGAAAACGAACTCTTTTCGAGTTGAATTCCATTACTCGATTTAATCCCTTTTTTAATGAGAATAATAAATCTTCTCATTAGCACACATTTACGTCTGTTCGAGAGAAAGACAAATACAGATCCAGACGTTTATCACTGTCGGATTTCTTCATTTTCCGATTCATTAAATACAATTATTCTTATCTCATTCATCTTCAATTCAAAGCTTATAATTATTTACCAGCTCGTATTTTCCGTAATAATGGTGTGACAATACCGCGAGCTATGCTCAGCTTTTCTTCAATCGTCATGCCGTATTCCTAGAGAGAATTTTATATCAATAAAAACATGTCCACCTCGAAGAGTTGCATTACTTGTGGTACAACGATATCAGCCAATGCTTTCGAACAAACATATAAATCGTCGGCATGTGGAAATTGAAGTTTATTTTTGTTATGCAGGAGATCGTATTTGATAGAATCGTAGATATCAGGGACTTTCGAAATATTGAATTTGTCCTTTTGAATATTATAGAAGTCTTTTTCAAGCTTTAACCCTATGAAGAGGAAACAATTTGATAGATGAATAAAAGTCAGAAGAGATTACATCGTCTTAAACATAAATCCCATGTTTCTGAATGGAAAAGTGTAGCTAGAAAAAAAGTTTATCGGAATCATTTGTTCAACAATTGTTTGATTTTGATAGACATACTTGACTCGCCTTTGAATACGTGGGTTCGAATGAGTACTGTCATTTCATGAATATATTCAAGAATCTTTCGACAGATAACAACTGGATTCTTGATAAAATCCATCGATGAGGTGAATGAACGCGATCGAGTTGGTGCGATCTGAAAGAAGAATTTCGTTTTGCTGATTTTCATACATCTGTTAACTAACTTTATCATAATCTTCCTGATTGAAGTCTCGATCTTTGGCAAGGAGATCATGTAATGTTTGTTTGACTTTTTGTTGTTCTTTCGTTGAATCGACATCATTGTCAAGTAAACCGTTTGTATTGGCGCTTTTCACCATTTGTACAAGAATCGGAGCTAATTCGCCGTCGAGTGCTAAGAGACCTTTGGCAAATGCTGCAGCAGTCATCTGTACGCGACCTTCATCCGATGCGTAAATCTTTAAATCATGTCGAAATGTTGAATGTAAACGAAGAAGACCAACATCAGGTCGATCACCAACGGCACCTTGCCCGCCTGGATACATTTTACGAAATGACTACAACGAAATCTAGATAGAAGAATATTCATGTCATTCGATGGTAGCTCACCTTGCCAAGAGCTTCCGCTTGATTTTTGCCTGTTTGAGTCAGTTGACCACCCCATTTGACTACTAGGAGTAATGATGGTTGACTGGGAATGTCATCCAATTCTATAAATATGGAAAATATCAGGAATTTTTCTTTAAAGAAAATCGATTGAGGCTATGCTCTTACCATCTTCACTGCTGGATTTTTTTGGCGGACCCTTCGGAAGATATTTTAATTGTATTTTACGATTGATACCGGAAAAATGGCCATATAATTCTAATACTTGTTTAAGTTGTACTAATTTTCCTCTTGTTTCCGATGAATTTGGGAGTTTCTATTAGTGACAAGATAATGAATCGTTATATCAAAGTATGAATAGAAGTTCTTACTGTTAGTCCGTCATCATCCAATTCTTTGAGCAATGTTCGAGCGATATCAAGTACTTCCTGAAGTTGACCGGGATGTTTCAATTTCAAATGGCCATTCTTTGGACCGTTATATTTTTCGAATAATTGGAAAAATCTTCAGAACAACAACGATCATCATTGAAATTAATGACAAGAAATCTTACAAAGGATGGAGTACAACCATCTTCATCTTTTGTTTTGGCGTTCGATCTCCATGTCGAATCACACCAATCACACATCGAAGTTCCATTCGTGTTCCAAATGCTGTCGGCACATAAGGTGGATCTTCTGGCTGATACGCTAATGGATATGGTATTGATAACGTAGGCGCTAATTCTCGCATTATCATATGACTGAAAACAATTGTATGAATTGATTTTGCATCGTCAGACGCCGCCTTACCCGAGAATGGAAGCACAATCATCGTAGTATTTCGTACTATTTTTCACAAAACTAAATCCGTTCACATCACAAACAAAAGATTTGCCTTCTACACGGAGCAAATCGAAGCCACAAACTGTTTGCTAAATAAACAAACAACTTCTAGCCAGCTAATCAAATCGAAGAGCAATTACTTTAAATGCCAAACATATTTTCATTGCAATCAATTTTTCATCAGCTCGTAATATAACTGGATAACGGACTTCTTTTCCGAATTCATCTCGTTCAACTTTACCATCAAGACCAGGAGATTTTCGTGCTTCAGCATGAGCATATTCAGCACCAACCGTATAAACCTACACAACCAACTTTTCATTCTGCACCAACGAAAGTCATTTTTACATACTTTCACATCAGTACCATCGGTAGGCATAAATTCTTCGTAAATATACGATCCATCATTACGTATACTATTTTCCGATGTGTAGACGCTGCTTCGGCTACCAATCTAAATACAAGATAACTTTTGTTACGTCAAACATCATTCATAATTCCTGCAAAAGTTACGCGTACTTGTGATCTCAAAAAAACCTTACCTTGCGAAATAATCTTTGAGATCCGCCACCGGCTGACGATGGAAAATATATGTAAACGTCATGATTTTCTGCGGAGACCGGTTTTTCTACGAACGGCTTATGAAATATTTGGCCGTCAATTTCGATTTGGTCATCCTGCTCGATCACGTTCGATAAAGTTATCCATGTACCATCTAATAAATATTAAACCAAAAGAAAACGATACTCTTTTTAAATTTTTAATGTCTATCACGACAAACCCTCATTCTTCTCTCGTCGAACTACACCATATCGAGGTTGAGGAATGCCGGTATCGTCTAAAATTTCATGAACTTTAATACGATCCATGATACACCACTGTTTATCCAGATCATTGATGAGAAACGGCCGATGAAGACGAGCGTATTCTTGCGTTTTAGCAAGTGGAAAACCTTTACTGTGAAAACTAATTAACACGTGACAGAATGGCCACTCTTCAATAGACTTTTCGTGTATCATTGTTTCCGTGAAGACGATTATACGAAGAAATTCAAATTGTTCCAAACGATGAAGAATTTCTTCCATTGGTTTCGCTTTGATCTTCTTCCATTGCGCACAAATGCCAACTGTAATCAAACGACGATCCTCCTATTTGAAAATATTTTCGAAGAAAAACAAATTAAACTTTTCTATCTCGAAGATAAATTCCTGCACCTCGGAATCGTTCATATTGTCTAAATCATCGAATATGTCATCATTTTCGTCGTTATTAATCGAATCTCCACAACATTCATCATCTCGGATATCAGCATTATATTCACTCATGATTTTCGCTTGCTGCAGGTCAATCTGGTGCCATCGAATCTTGTCTTCAGTCTGAGAATTTGTTCTTACAAATATACGGATGTATCACTCGTGTATTGGTTTGCGTTGACACTTATCGTTAGGTTTGATTAGCGCCCTCTTTCTACGAGTCACTAGACGTTGGGAAAAGATAATAACTTCTTTTTCTTATGTTATTTGATAAGTGTAGATTTGATGAAATTCTAGTTGAATGAGTCTTGACAACTAATTTCGTTTATTTTAGCAAATAAATAATCAACTTTGAACTTGTGCATTCCCATGTTTTTCTTCCGAATATAATTACAATGTAAATCCTTTCCAAGATCAGAAGGTATCATATAGCACACGAGTCAATGTTCTCTTGTTATTTTATCAGGATTTCCTGCAATCTTCATTTTGTATCGAGGAAAGACTTTGATGTTTCAAGAGATTATAACAAAGTTATCGGTATGGAAAACTTATTATACCAAATCCTAGTGACTCGTCGTTTTCTACTTTCTCGATTAAAGCAAGTGAAAGAAAAATAGGTTTTCATACGATTTCTATGTGCATGATAGAGGAGCATCTTTATTATTGACAATGTACAGAAAAATCAAATGCATTCGGTCGATATCGCCAGCGATACTGTCTACTTTCGCAATGACCATTGATACCGTAAACGTGTCTTTGCTTTTAATCCTTTGAAACAACATAATGTTTCCAGAATTGCTTTACGAAAGTTCCTCGAACTATAGACGTATAGAAACGGATTGAGTAGCGAATTGACATAACCCAACCAGAAGATGATACATTCAAGTTCAACAGAGAATTTTTTCGGGTAGAGCAGCATTATTGGATAAGAAATGATAAATGGAAGCCAACAAATAAGGAAAACAGCGAGTAAAATACCTAAAATAGACAATGAACTATTTCAATACTCATCTTATTCTTCTAATGAGTTAAGAACATTTGGATGTTAGTTATTCTTGAAATTATGAACCAGTGATAACGATATAATAGGATCGTTGTTATATCCACTTTTCTTTTAATGGTTTAACGTCATATCCTGAACGACTTTATGAGATTCTCAGTGTGCTCTTCTCTCTCTCTCTAGTCGGATCAAAATGAAAGACAAACTCATTACTCTAGATTATATTACTACGCCTCTATTCTGTTGAGAATTTCCGATGCTTTCGAAAGTTCTACGAGTACAAAAACTAAAGTAAATAAATCATACCTAACATCCGACTTGCTTTTTGATTTCGTCTCAATCTTGCCTTATTTCTCTCATGCATAAATTGTGCCACTGCGCGTTGACTATATCGACTTGAATTGAATGATGTTGATGTAGTATGCGAGGGTAAATGACGTCGACTTAACCGTCGATGATCATCGTCGAGAGTATTATCAAATGATGAACTATGCTCGGATATATCCGTTGTCAATACGCCCCCATTGATACCCACGCTTTGATTCGACGAGTGGGAATGTGAACGACTTCGTTCATTGGAGATGGAATTGAAGCGCGTATGAGGCGAATCTTCGAGAATTTTTGTTTGGGAGATGTTTGAACTTGGAAAATGATAGTAGGAAATACATCGTGCAGCAGGTAGAGACGATGTTCGCGTACTAAGACGTGTTCGAACTAATTCTTCTTCTTGATTGAGTGTGGAATCAGGTTTAGATCGTTTCTCTTCTATAACATCATTCAAACAACGCTTTTGGCCGGTAAATGTTGCTGTTGTTGCCTGTCGATTGGAGCGATAGAGAGGAACAGGCGATAATGTATTGGATGCAAATCCGTAATTGGAGACAGTTCCCAGTCGATTGCACCGATTATTCAACAGATTTACAGGAATATTGTATGGACTTCCATTTCCCGAACGAGTTGGATTCTGTAGAGGATGTTTAGTAGTATTCCGTTGAAAATATCTTAGTAGAAGTGAACGTAATGACGAAGTTGATTGTGATGATGTTGAAGTAAGATTGTGCTTATCACTGTTCTGAGTATAACCATGGCCATAATCATTTGGGTTGTATTTTATTGTTCCCCAAGTACCTTTGATCTATAAACATCGAAAGATAATTGTTTCAGAGAATTTGGTCTTTCTTCGACTAAAAATGTGTAACATGCACATTCGGGATGAACTCTGGACCATACTATGATTACCTTCAACAACTTAGAAATGTACTCTAGCCTGCACGGAAATTGATTCTATTAATCAGAAATTCTTCGAATAATTTCATCGAATGTAGATGAAGAAATCCTTTGAGTATTAAACGAATACCAATTATTATTCTATAAATACCAACTCAATTATAGTTTAGAAGTTCTTTAGATGTTTTTTTATCAATTGACATCAAAGTTCTTCTTTTGAAGTGAAATTAATCAACTGATATAACTAGTCTCGAACGTTGATAATCATCATATAGAATTATTCATAATTTACTTTGAGATGAACTGTCGGGTGAAGAGAACTCGACGACTTCATCAAAATACAAACGTATGTCTTACCATAACTTCGATGTTTTTGATATTTACTATGATTCGGGAATAACAACATAACATGAATAAGAGAGGAATATAATAGAAGAATGAACAGAGAACGACAATTATATAAGAATTTGCCGGATGAACACAACTTGGTGGACTCGAACTAAAATGCTGACCAAGAAAGATGGACATCGGCCATATAGCAAATGGTATTGCCCATGAGCTAACAATGAATATTAACACAGATGAATATGATCGATTTCGTAGATGAAAATACGGCGCTAAACAATCAACATCATTCAATAAGAAAAACAAACGTTCGAAAACAGACATATACCTGTAAGTGCATAATAGCGATCAAGCGCCATGGAGGCAAGCGTAAGAAAGGATGCCGTTGAACAAGTAAAGTCAATTGACATCCACATATAACAAAGCCGATAGTGAAATGGCCATTTTAATTGAAATGTATGTAGTGCCATTGGTGGCATGACGAATAATCCGACGAAAAAGTCTGCCAAACATAAGCTGACAATGAAATAATCCGAATACGATCGTGTATGTAGACGAAATTTAATTGAAAGTAATACTAGACCATTGCCTGAAAAGAGAAGAAATTGTTGTTTGGAACGAAGGTTGAGCTTCACTAACCCAAAATTGTTGCAAGAGTAATTAGACCGCATGTTAACAAGACAATTATTGTTTGCAATGACCATGTCCAGTGATTTCTATCGACAGTTTGATTGAATAAAGGGGTGGCATTTGAACTATTCATTTGTTACCGAGCTTAACTAACGGATTGTCTTTGAAATGGTTAGTAAAATGTCATTTGAAAAAAATACGAGCAGCTATTTTAATCAAGTGTTGTAATCTATAACGAGAAGTTAAATTAATATGATCATATGGTTATTTTCTTTGTGAATTATTTGATGCGTTTAAGCTGCATAATAATAATAATGATGAAAAAAAAAAGAAAATGTAGGCGATATGAGAAGTTGACTCTTTGGGAAAGCGACGAACGCGTTCTGTGACAGACCAGATGACGATCCTTCATTGACATACATAACACTGCATCTATTCATCATTCTTCTTCTCCTCCGCCTCCTCTTCGTCGCGTCTCATCAGAAAAGAAAACAAGTCCTACGACGATTGTTTTAATCGATATCCATCTTTCAACTTAACTAGCTTCTCAGATGAAAATGAATTCCGGAGACTCACTTTTTTGCCTTTACACAAATAGAAAAGAATAGAAATATGACACGTACTTTCCTTTTTCCGGCAGATATGATTACATCTAAGAACCTAGCTGAAAACAAAACCAGACTATCACGCTGTAGGCGTACCCATTCAAGTCTTGTCTAATTTTTTTATCTTTATTCGTCAACTAACTATAATTTGAAACGAAAAAATGATAGATGGCAATGTTCTGATAATTAGCAAAGGATAGTAAATAATTGAACTTGATCGTTATTAGCTTCCGTTTGAACTCGCATCAATAAACTCGAAAGAGAAGGTTGAATCTACCCTTCATGTTTCGTAATTACTAACAATGAGCACAAGAAAAACATCCAACATGTTATCGCTCGATAGAATCTAGGAAACGGACATTGTTGTAGAAACAATGAAAGCAACTAGGTCTCTCTCTCTCTTTCATTGACTGAAAACAAAACTCTTCTGCGGCTTGTTTTCTTGTTTCTGATCTGAGGAAAACTAACCGTATCATCACGGTTATCATTCGAGCAGAATGTTTCGTCTAAAATGACAATTAATGGCGTATGATTTTAATTGTCATGCACGGAACATTATCAGCTGTTGAACTGCTTTGAATGTATGTGGAAAAAAAAGTGAAATGTCACGATTTTCTCGCGAGAAAAACTCTCTTCTTGAATAAAATAAAAATATGTAAAGTCGGCTATTTGAGATACGACGCTCGAAAGGTTTACTAGACGTCTGTGGTGCTAACAACTGTTGTATATTTACTCGTCACCATTTGCTGGATGAATCTGTTCTATAAAAAAAAGACGAAGAAATGTCTGAACTGCTTTCGAAAGAAAGATTTCTACGTTTTCTCTTTTCCATAAGCCGTCATTTCCTTTCGATAGTCCTCATTGTCTATGTAAATAAAACGCAATGCACAGAGTTAATTGAATTGCACTTGACACACCATTTTGTACTTTTTTCTCGTCGACGTTGAAATAATGTGCTCTTTGCTTGTCAGTATAACATGTTCTAAACTTATTATTTCATTAGAGCAAAAAAAAATCAATCTAAACGGGACCTTCTCTTCACTTACGGCAGTGCGGAAATTGTTTGATTGAAGGAATGGTTGCTTTTCCCTCGTTTTTTTTTTATGATTGCTTGGTAAATAATAATGAGTGATAAAAACGAAGAAAACTGATGTATCAAGATCGGCCGACGTCATTACTGTTTATATTCATTTTCTTATGTAAACCAGCTGCGACAGATTGCTTTTTTTCTTGCTCAAAGAAGACACTGTTCATCATGATCAAGGTGAATGTGTGTTATTGACGAAGATAGAAGATTTTTCTTTTTGTTTTTCTTGATGATGATCAAAAAGGCAAGTTTTCTATGATGATTGATTCGATTGCATTTGTCGATTTATCAATAACCATGAGATGCATTCAGTGGAATTTCATTTGTTCGGAATAATCCAAAGCACATGTCAATATTTTGCGTATATAGATATATTCATTAATGTCAATTACCTCGTTCACGATTTAGATCATCAGACACGTACTTACGTCTGTTTTATTTCGTATATTTAAGAGAATGACACTTGTCTGTGATCCAAAACATTTTGCCAAATGTTCTTCGGCGCTTTTGTTCTCATTATACGTCATATCAAATCAGAGAAATGAAGCTACGCTTCACAGATTATCCTATAGTAATATAATTATCGTATGCAGATTCCTTCTTTCTTCAAAGTGACTTCAGACACAGATATGAAGAATAAAATTATTCTTTTTCTACTGAATGAACTTGATTAATGTCATTGTATTTTTCAGAATCTATTGTAGACAAGGAAAGTAGAGCATTGAGGGAAAATATTCATAGTAAATGTTGACTATCGACAATTGAAATTTAGCTTTGTAGGATACGAATGTGTACGTGTCATTTCGAGCTTTTTCTTCCGTTGTACATCGATTGGAAAACAATTCCAAAATCGAATTGTCTCGTCGGCTGATAAACTCACAACTGGATTGCCTTTTGGCCCCATGATTAATGACAGAATACGTGATGTATGACCTTCAAAAAGAAAAATATTCTTTTGCTGAATAATAAACAAGCTAATAGACTTATTTACCATGTAATGTATGACATTTTTCCATCGACGGATAATGCCAAATGTGAATGAAATTGTTTGGATGACCTTGGCCCGTAACAATTTGTTTATAATCTGTTGACCAAAGTATGGAAGAGATCTGAAAACAACAAAACATCAATTGTATTCTTTCCTTTCCATTTGTTCTCTATACTTGTGAATCGGTTTTGATTGCTTGTTGACATATGCCATTACTATTATTCCAGAAACGTAAATAACCATCTGAATGACCACCACCGGTTGCCAATACTTTCGAACCTTCCCATGGACACCAAGCAATCGCCTAAATAATAACATTTTCAAGAGAATATGAAATCTTCTGACTGACTTTAACAGCTGCTTTATGATCTTTAATGTGCCATAAAGGTTTCGTTGGAATATTCGCTTTCTTTTTATCACCATCAGCTGGTGGTAAAAGTGAAGAATAACTACCCGATGTTCCACTGGTTGAATACCATTGGTGAAAGTCCCATACACATACAGTATTATCATTACTACCACTGGCGAGATATCGTCCGTTAGGACACCATTTCAATCCACAAACTTCTTGCCGATGTGTTTGAAATTTGATAATACAATCTTTTTGTCGGACATCGTAGAGAAGAATGTCACCTGAGTTGCGCGTGCCACTAGAAATAGTAAATGTCAAAGAAGATTTGTTTGACAGATCAAATTTCAAATCACGGATTAATCAAAAAGAATAATAAACGACAGTTGACTTATACCGAAGATGAAACTTACCAAGCAATGATATTTTGATTCCATGCTAAACAAGGTATTCTATCGTCTTCATCCAATGTATTTTCGGCGATTAGCTTTCGTTTACATATTTGTTGATTAACATCATAAATATGGACTTGTTGATAAGATGTACCGACAGCAAGATAGGGTGATTTATTGTGCCATGCAACACTTGAGACATAATGTACTTGTTCATCATCGTCATATTCATCGTTTGTATTTGGTGTTTGAAGTTCAAGTAATTTCGTCACATTACCAGAATTATCATCCCAAAGAAACACACAGTTCATCAAAGCAACAGCAATCATATTTGTCGGCTTACCCCAGTCGATTAAATTCAAATCTTATGTACATCAGTCAGTAGGGATTTTACAAAAGCGAATCTTTACTTACAAAAATCATCGATTAAATCAGGTGCATCGAGGATACGTTCTGGCGTTGAACTGATATATCTTTCTTTAGATGTGATTGTTAATGCTTCGATTTGTCGAGCAAGATCACTAGGATCTGATACAAGAGATGATAGGCAATGTCTCGTAGATGAATGATATAACCATACCTATCGGTCGTGGTTTGAGAGTCTTCACACCAAAATTATAAATGCGTCGATTTTGTGGCATGAAATGTTCGAGTAATTCGAGTGTTTTACGTGACGATGCTGTTTGCGCTTGTTGATTCGTACGTTTTTGTGTCCGACGTTGCTGACGAACAATTTGTTGTTGTTGTTGTTGTTGATCGATGGATACTATTTGACCATTGTTCGAAGATATAACACGTGAAGTTATCTGAAGATTTTGGGATACAAGTGAATCCAGGGCATAATCACGATCGAGATCAATTCGACGTGGAATGAATCTATTACATTCATTAAAGATTTGTTCTGTGTGATCATTGATGGCAAAGAAAACAAGATTCTCTATTCAAGTACCTGTCTCCTCGTAAAAGATTTGGTTCGTCACGTCGTGCACGCACTGACCAAGCTTTGGCTTTTTTCTTCGTCGAGGACACTGCTTCATCGCATGGACCGAATCGACTTGCAAAGGGTGACCCTCTCCCGTTATCATCGTCATCGTCGATTTCCAATGGATGCAGTATTAATCGTCGAGGAAAGTTAAATAAACTGTGACCTATGAGAAAATAATACAAGATAAGCTGTTTTTCAATGACAATCTTCTACTTCGTTCCATTTGGAACCGATCTGGTGTTAACATTCCGATATTTGTCATATTTTCAAGATTTTGCTGTTGTTAATTTCTGAAAATGTTTTTCTTATTTCGTTGTTAGATTGTTTGTTCATCGAACGAACAGTTAAACAAAGAGTGAAATATCGATGACTCATTCGAACGTTTATCTATTGGATGAATTTCATTCGCGACAAAACTATAAACATGTGCGCAGAGTGAGCGAGAGAGAGAGAAAGTGGTGTGACGGTTGGAATTAACACTGGAATCACATTTCAGACTTTATTTATATTTCAATTGGCTTTGAACAAGTGCAAAAAAATAAAATGAATCGTTCAAGGTTGATTTTCATTGATATACAGATACACATGGTTAGAAAACATAAAAAGAAAACAAAGGTTAAAATATCGATCTTGATCGGACGGCATTGATGCGAATTCTACCAATGTGAGTTGTGTAGAGCAGCTACGCGTCGAAGAAAATCTGCATGACTTGCGAATAACGGCATTTTCGAGTCTAAATCTTGCCAGAAAGCGTCTGTAGCATCACTACCAGCATTTACATTGATCAAAGCAAGATGTTTTGCTTCTTCATCATGAAAATTGTAAACTGGAAAAGAAAAAAGCATTCTAATGATATAATTCTTATCTCAAGATTAACAACTCGTCGTACCTGTTGTTTCCATCCAACTATTATCAGTATTCCTAGAATAGAAACATAATAAATATTGAGTTGACTGAGATTGTATACCTTGGATCATCGACATAACCACAGTAAATTCTTGTTCCGCCATTTTCAAAGATGTTCTTTATTGTTAACATTAAGGTCTCTCGTTCATTTTCATCTAAATCTGGAAAATTCAGAACTTCTTCATGAAACTCTCGTCGCAATGTGTCCGTTGCTCTTTCTTTCTTTTCAACCATTCCGCCCGGAATAGCGAATTCATCCGTATCTTTACGACGAATACAAACGAATTGCAAAATCGGTTGCCCACTAGTCGGATGACGAACTCTCGCGTTATTTTGATCACGTTTCCACCGTGTTACTATAGGATCAGCTGCATGATTCGGACCAAAATGACCTAGAACGTTTTTAAACATGAGAAATCCCATTTTCTACTATTTGTTTCTTTACCAAGATGTCCTCGTCCAGTAAGTCCTGTTCGTCCACATGGATTCTGTGGCACACCCCGAACAACTTCATACTTGCCATGATACGATCGTCGATCGCAAAGACGATCATCTTGATTCCATGGAATGACAACATTGGGATCATTTCGAGGATCACGATCGACATATTCTTTGGTTGATTTGAGAACTTTTTCTGCCGTAAATTCAAGTGGACTATAATCAAGCGGCGTCGACCACGGCACTCTGTCATCAGGAACAATTGATCGAATTATTGCTGGCTGTTCTTTTGTACCAGTTCGAGTATATTTCGCATGAACACATTCATTCGAAGGACTTGACGGATCACATTTTCGACCACAATTCCGACATTTATGATGAATCGGGATACGCTTTTCGACAGCTTCACTTATTCGTGTTCCTAACCGAATGTTAGCACAAGAGAGCAGATTTCCCATGACGAAAATATTGACTAAAAAACACGAAATCTGTTTTTGATGCAACAAGGAATGTAATATGAGTATCGTACACATGTCAGTTAAATAACAACCTCCTCGGATTTTTTGTTCTTCATCAAATGAAAAAAAAACCATTCGTGCTTCTGCATTCTTTATTCTAATTTTTTTTTCTTCTCTTGTATGTATTACTGTCGTCATTATTTCTTTCTCTCAAAACTACTCAAGTTGTCATAACATCTCTATGTTTCATATACGTTTAACCAGCATACTTGCCACCGAAAGACGTCACAGGAGTTTCATTATCAAAAAAGAAATCTCAGACAATGACGATGTTTTTCGCTGAAGACGAAGAATCCTTAACAAATCTATCATCATCTGTTGCTAAGTGGTTAAAACAAAAACTGTTGAGCAGTTCTAATGAAAAGGCAAACGACAGTATAGCTGCTTTTATTTTTATACTGTGTATGTGTATATCACAGGAAGAACATAATATATAGATACCGAAGAAACCTGCGCACACAANAGACAATGACGATGTTTTTCGCTGAAGACGAAGAATCCTTAACAAATCTATCATCATCTGTTGCTAAGTGGTTAAAACAAAAACTGTTGAGCAGTTCTAATGAAAAGGCAAACGACAGTATAGCTGCTTTTATTTTTATACTGTGTATGTGTATATCACAGGAAGAACATAATATATAGATACCGAAGAAACCTGCGCACACAAAAAAAACAAGATGGGACATAGTAAGTGTACAATTTGTTAGAGTTAAAGTGTGTTCTGTACCCGAAAAATAACGTTATGTATACTGTCAATGAAAAAAAAAGGACAAAAGCAGAAAAATTGGAGAGAAGAAGACAGAGAGTTATAATGAATATTTATATTTTTGTGTTTTATTTGAAAAAAAAAGAAGAAAATAGCAGCCAGAACAAGAAAAAAAATATTGATAAGAAATCAATCCTTTTGGATGGTTGAACGACAGTAACGCCCAGTTATATATTATTGGAATATCGCGATAAAAGAAAATGAAGAAGAAGAAGAAGGAGGTGAATATGAAACCAAAATTGTTCTATTTGTTAAATGCTGATACAACAGCCCACATTGTTTCCATTTTGGGATCGTATTTGCTCGATTCCTGATCGGGGTCAAGATCAAGTAATTCACGTACATGTTTCATAGCAACTTCATAATCTTCATCAGATAAAGATGTGAAAGCATTTTCCAAGACATCTAAGAAAAAATGAATTTCTTCAGAAAAACAAAGTATGCTATCGAATTCTTCTTACCACTTGCATGCGCCAAGTAGATTAAGGCTAGGATTCGTCTGTCCATACGACGTGGATCATTCGGCCAGCGTGATAGGACGCTATCTTGGAGTCTTTTTATCAATTTCATTTTGTGTACATTATCGTTGAGCGGATGTGTTGTCATATCAAACAGAAAGAAATTTTGTTTCTCTGTACTGCAAATACCTTTATCGACGAGATTCTTTGCCAAACGTTCACGAACATTTCGTAATTGATATTTTAATTTCAATGGATTCCAGCATTCGCCTGAAAAACAAAAAAAGAACAGATAGAAACTAATGTGGTAGTCGATTTTCAATACAAATTTGACATTCACCAATAAAATAACAGAGGTCATGCTGTCTACTCTTGAAAACATCATCCTCCATTGATCAAGTAAATAAATCACTGCTAGGCGTCAAGAATTTACGTACCACTGAGATATTCAATCCAACTTTGCACTGTTTCTTGTGGTTGTGTTTCTTTAATATGTCGTAGAGCTTCATCGAGTAGGACATCGCCTGTAGCTGTATCATCGAGTAGCATAACTTTTCGATTGGATATTGCTTTACGACGTGCACCAGTTTTTTCGAGTTCGACACGTCCACGAAAACCTAATTCCGTTAAAATACATCCCCGTAAACCTGATGAAATACAATCATTCCAGAACGATGTGTAACCCTATGAAAAGATCGTTAATGTCAATAGTTAAATATGGTTGGTAACGAACTTCTCGATCTTTCAAACCAAGCAGAAGTACTTCTTCCATAAGTGTTAGACGTGTTTCTTTATCATCGTCATTTTCACCTTCATCATCTCTATCTCGACTTTCCCGATCATTTTGATTGGATTGAGAAATACTATTACTAGCCAAATCATTATATGTTCCGCCACTGTTTGTCGTTGACGACGATACAGGCTTACGTCGTGTTACCGTTGTCATTGTTTTCCAATAAATAGGGAGGATATTCTCTGAAAAACAAAAGACGAGAATAAGTCAGAATTATATGACCAAGGTCACTTCGTTCAATTAATAGTAAATACAGCACTATATCGCATTAATAATCGATCGGTAAAGCTCGATGGAAAAAGTTAATAGGAAGAAATACAGTCAAGAATTGATATATTCGGAATTGGTATTTGTTTTTCTCAATGACATGTGAGTGCGCAATGTTTGCGAATGAAGGAAATATGTATGTATGGATGCTTGTTTTGTTTGCTTAGTTATGAGTCATTGCAGTTGGTATGAACGCATCTATTTGACTTTGATAAACATTCAATATCTAGAAAATAAACGGAAAAGTTTCGCGTCCGAATAAATTTTTTGACAAAATGTACAATAATATAAAAAATGAAACATAGATATGCTGCTTAGTAGCGACATCTACAGACACAGATGTGACATCCGCATAGAAATATAGATAACAAGATACTACTTTGAAAATTCACACGCGCGCTTGACTAATGGAGTCAAATAGACAGCGAAACTTTTCTCAAAAATTGCATGTGGTCGACACATTGTGACTTTGCTGTGCGACAAATCGAGGTGTGAATTATGAATTACCATCATGACATAGAAGAGAAAGAAACAAAAGCTTTCTATCATAATGTACAGGTTTGGGTGACCGAAAACTGCCACTAATTAGTATTCCACGTCAATGCTAATCATGGATCTCTAAACACAAAAAGAGCTACTCATGGAAAAAAACCGATTTATTGAAGAAGTTTCGTTGCTTGCATAGCACAAAGATTACTTTATGTGACAATTAAGTGACTCAGTTTATAAATCATAATTGTCAAGATGAAGATGTCGATCATTCTATATAGAACCAGCTGAACTGAGATATTTCTTTGAAAAATGCTTTCATTGAGTTTAATTAATTAGAGAATAGTTGATGCATTTGAAATAATTGGATAATGAATATTCCGTCGAATTCCCTAGGCGATAAAAATGCAGTTCAAAACAGGTGCATCTGCCTTATGACAAACAGTATTTTCTCCTGTATTTAGACAGGAAGAACATTATTACTATAGTACGTTCTCTGCCAGTTGGCAATACTCCGTATGACTTTCATTGACTGGAAGATATCATATATATATGCAGTCAAGAAAATCAGCCAACGTAGAAAGTCACGAGTAGTATTTTTCTCGTATAAAAGACCCTATTATAACCTGAGAACAAACAAGAGTGCTGCCATTAATCTATAATGGGTAGTCGCGCTAGTGTTCAACAAGCAATACCTGTATCGAGTAAGGAATTTTCATAATAATATACTGATTTTGTCATATTTTGTATGTAGTTGAAACGAATCAGTACAAACAACGGTATGTCAGCTCTTCTAATTTGACAGCTAATATCTGTACTATTGATCATATCTTCAACCCTCACAATACTGACGATTATGAAGACGCATTCGATTATATCGACTGTTGTGACATATGCTGTTTTGCTTGTTTTGATATTTAATATCTCATTGATATTCACTTCTATATAATAGAATTTCTTAAAATTTCTTTCTTCAATAAATTTGCATCGATGCGATGAACATCCCAATCGTCAGTTTTTATGTGAAATGTGTGATCTTTCATCGTTTTTTCAATTGCGAGAGACCATGTGTTTGGTGACATTGTATAACCTCGATTTTCAAGAACAGACAAAGGTTATTGTCGTTAAATGTTTTATCCTAATTTTAATTTAAATATTTAACATTTCTTCAGTCAGTAACTGATGTCCGAGATGTTGAGAAGCTAAAGTCATAGAAAAAAACTAAACTAATCAGAAAATGAGAGAATGAGACGAATTCAAACGTCAAAGGCACGAAACACTAGAGAAATTCGCATTCGGATTCTATATTCAAAGGTCAAAATAACTTGAACATTGATACTAACGGAAGAGACACGACTCTTTATTTTGATAAAATGTTCATCTTACTCAATCAATACGATATTTTTTGCTGAATTGAGTTTAGCTGCTCAACTCTCGTATATCGTGTCTTATGTACAAGCAAACAGAAATTAAGGTCAGTCGGAAGTATACACACTCGAACATTCAAACTTGTAGTATAACTTGATTAATTATGTATTCTATTTTCCAGCAGAATTCTTCCTCTATAGTTGGAATAATATGCGTGATATATTCAAAAGGAAAAACAGCAGACATTTCACAAATGACGAATGTTTCTATCGCCATTACTATATACTCATTTATTATGTAGAATATGTTTTAACTCTCTGTGAAGAGTTCTCATCCTCTCAGTGGAAAGATTCAGCATATTGGCCTAGAATCAACTAATCAAGGTAATTATATCACATTAATTATGGAATGTGCAGTGTATAGATGCATTAGAAAGGCAAACAATAGTCGATGAATTTACACAATCATATAAAGAGTGTTCTGAAACACAGATGAAAATTTCTCGATTTTCCATTTTTTGAAACGGAATTTTTCTTGCGGATTGTATAGGTTGTCGATCTCAACTATACAACATAGTCACAACGTTTCAGATTCGTATTCCAATAAATCAAAAAAAAGATTATCTCATGTATTGACAGAACGATCCTTTTTTTGCTTCGGTAATGCACTAAGCTTTTTCACTGTCATGTGTAATTTTGGACCTATTATGCATGTAGCAAACTCCTCACCTTTGGTTAGATAAATACCATCATACTCCATCTGTTCTCTTCTAATTTCCAGATCCAATGTGCTCTACTACGGTTGAATTCCGGGATAGCTGCGATCGCACTGTGACTCTAATTGTAGCACGATTGCGCCGCAATCTCTAGAAAACAGGCAATGTAGGAACAATTCGTTTATTTACTGAGAATAATCTTTCTTGTTTTAGGCATGTACTAAACGCGAATTATTCTGTCAAGGTGTTATAGCTGATGCTCGATAATCTGCCTTCAATTTTGGTTTTTCGTTTCATTCTCTTGCTGCTGATGTTTATCTATCACAAAGAAAAGGAAATTACCTGAGAAAAAATACAAGTGACAACGGTGTTCACTTTTACTTAGTAGGGTGTAAACTGATTAATTAGAAATTCTGATTTTCAATAGAGCTGTCGTTTTATATTCATATCAAAAAATGCGGACTGGATGCGGAAGGAAGATATCAGAAATCAAAGGAAAATGGAAGCGGGAATCCTTCGATTTTCTGCGAAACTGAAAGAAAACGGGCAAAATCGCTCGCAGGATCCGGTTAAAGAATTCCTACATTCATTCATTGATTACGACGAATGTGTCTAACATTCTAATAAGAACTTTAATCATCTCAACTGAAAGGTTCAAATTTCAACATTGTTGATTGACTATTGAATGCACAATGTATGAATTTATTAGGAAGACAAAAATACAGTTCAATAATTTACAGAGTCATATATGTTCGTATAATATGCCGAGCAAATTTTTCATTTTTACTCGCTTTGTAAATCAAAGCAAGATTATATGCTGCTTGATACTTCATTCCATAGATATCATGTTCGTCAACGATCGGCGATTCAGTTTCTAAACATTTATGATAAAAATACGCTGCAGCATAGTGTAATGAAAGAAAATGCATTAGACGACCAATGTTATAGTATGTTTCTGTACATTCGCCACGTAAATTTCGGTATTGTTTAAGGAAAGCAAGTGCGTGAAGAACGCGTTGATGTCTCGAATAGGCATATTTTTGACAAGCGACATGTACAAACGAAATAGCTAATAACAATGATACGAGAGGTTCATCTGGTGTCAACCGAAATAATTTCATATAATGAATAATAGCTAAACGATAAGTACCACCAATTAAAGCGAAGTTACCAACCATGTGATGGAGAATTGGTGAATTAGGTCGTTTTTGTAATGAACGAACGCAAAACTTTTGTAATCGGACACTGGGTGTAATGGTTGCTGTTAGAGCAAAGAGATTTTGTATAACCGAAGACTTCGAATAACAACGAAAAATTTCTCGACAGGTTTGAAAAGCCAGATCACCATTTTGTTGTAACATTAAACTAATGAATAGAAGAAACTCTGTCAATACAAGCCTAAAATAAACAATCAGTTGAAAATTTACGGAACCATTAACAATCTTACCAATCAATTCTTGCGTATAGAAACGGAATCACTGTTCCTGCAGCAGTCACTCTTAGAAGTAGATCATGTCGTTTAATATGGATGAGTACATCACAGAATTTGCCATAAATATCAATAATTCGATTCTTTAGAACAGTATCAATTCTAGTGTATGATGGATTCAAGATTATGCGTTTCTCATCGACTAGTTTTTGTATTAATTCCAATCGACGTGCACGTGTTCCACAATTGATCAAACGTTTCGAGCAATCAAGCGTGAGAAGATATTTAATAGAACCAAAAAATAGTCGCATCGCATCTGGGATAAACGATGTCAGTCGGTTTTGATCATAGAGGGTGATACAACGTTCCACTAATAAATGGATTTTTTCCTTTGTAACTTCTTGTTGCTCTTTGTCATCATCATTCTGATCATTAAAATCATTTGTTTCGTTTGATTCTTGTTTGATTGGTCGACTAACGATTTCAGCTAAGGTATGTTGACTTTGTTCATTCATTCCAATCTGTTTTTGTAATGCTGATAACGATAAACGTGCTTCATTATATTGCGGTTCAAGTCTTAATGTTTGTTCTAATGCTTCGTACGCTTCGTGAAACTTCGATAATGCTATTAACCATTCAGAATATTGGAACCAAGATTGGGCAGATAATTTCGATAAAGATGAAAGGTGTTCAAATAATTGACATGCTTCGATCAAATGATCGGCTGATGCAAATGCTGACATAACATCAAGACACAAGGATTGATCAGTTGAGCGAACATTCGATTTATACGTTGGCAATAGACGCTAATAGAGAAAACAGATTACATACAAAGTATTTCATCCGATACGTACCAATGCTACAGCCGAACAATTAATATCAATAATGGCAACAAGAAACATACCATAGTAATCTGTTCGATAGAATTCTGGTAAAGAAAAACTAAATGGAGAAAATCACAAATACATTCGAATCAAAATTCGTGTTTTGTGACAGTTACTCTGCATCTTTCAAATCATCGAGATCGGTTGTGTCAACAGGTAGTTCTAATTCAGTCTGATACTTTGATAATCGAACACCCGTAAAGTTGATCATATTCTAGACGAAAACATAACAAACAAGCGTGTATATGAATGTATTTTACTTTGAGCAATTCGGGATATAATTTTGAATTGTACTCCATTTGTAATAAACGTTCAATATCTGAAAAAGAACAATTGATTTGTACGAATTGATTTCGAAATCCAACTAACATTCAGACGGAAAATCAGTGCCAAGATCGTTGAGTCCTTTGTAGAATAGCGTTTGTAGATGTGTATCTTTTCGTTCAGACGCCAAGATTGCCTAGAAAGATTTGAAAGATAAACATCCGTTCTTTACATGTAAACATGTGCTTTTTACTTGTAAAAGAATTCGATATTTTTCTAAATATAGCGCTTTTTGTTCCGGAACTTCGGATGGATGTAAAGCCATGAGTAATGCTTGTAAACTATTTAGATAAAGTTTTCGAGTACCGTGTGTTTCAACATGAGCAATACGACTCAGATGCATATCGATATCCATCGGATCAAGTTTAACAACTAAACAACAGAAATATTGAAGTAGTTAAACATACGTCTGGACAACAATAAACAAATCATTTGGATTTGTATTTTCAACTAGGTATATCGAATTGATTTTTGTTGACAAAATTCAATCTATCGAAATAATAAATTTCCTATCCTTTCTGAAATGTTATCGACTGTCTCCGATAATTCTACTTTCTTTGATATAAATTCGATAAATTTGTTTTCTTCTAATCACTAAACAAATATTTTCCTTCTCTCTGAACGTGTTGTTATGAGAAACAGGATGAGATATCTTTCCTTTTTCTCTCTGTCTAATGAATATGTTCATCTACAACATGCACTCATTATAACACTTTCCTCTTTGTCAACTACATGTTTCGTCCTTCTTCAATTAGCTACATCTGTCTTCTTTCCACTCGTTCATTTTCATAATATGCTTCGTATACATATTGACGAGATTCATCCGCTCAATGTTGATATCTACGTGGATATCTCAGCAAAAGATTTTACAAATTCTACACCGAAGAAAGACATTCTATCACCAATTCTTCCGAACGATACTTTTCGTGATTATGTCGATGATACTATCTATGAATGTGTCCATGAAATTGAACATTCTTGTCATCAGAAGAAAAACTATACTCTTCAACAAATCCTCGATAATGTCGACTCAATCCAGAAACAATACGAACAACTTATTCAAAATCCCATAACATCAACTCAACGAGTGTCCTGTTTTATGCCATTGAAACATTTAACGAAAATATTCAAAAATTTCAAATTTCTCCGACATAAATCACAAGATCAACCTCGAAAAACAACGCCTTTCGAAACGAAATCACCGTTTGTTTTCGGTGGAGAGACATTACATTGGATTGCTCTACCACAATATCATGATCATATTTATGAAAATCAACTTATTCATTAATCTCTGTTTTCTAAGCATACCGATACGGTTTTTTTTCTCTTCGTGTAAATAAACGAATAAATTATTAAAATACTTCTCATCATCTAACTTACTATTGTTATAACAAGTCGTTATCAAATCATTCGCTTGTCGTTGCTGACATTCTGCTAGCATTCGAACCCATAAATCTTTCGATCGTTGACAATGAGCTGCAACAAAGTTCATCTAGAATACAATGTTTGTTTTTTAATACAACCAAGTATCGAATAGAATTTACCTCAAAGGCTTTTTCGTGTTCATTTTGATCTTCGTAGATTCGGGCAATCGTCAAATATGGTTCAGCAGCATTAGGAACTAAGAAAAGAAAGAAAAAGAATAATCTGATCTAATTTGATACTAGAATAGAAATTTCTACCATTGGTAATCACTTCTTGACATATACGTATAGCTTTAGGAATGTCACCATGAACATAAGCCATATTAGCTTCACCCATTAATGCTTGGTATTCTTGATTTAGACGACTTTTGTGTACTTTTTCTGTCTGTAACAAAAGCATATTCGATGTGAGAACGCGTATGAAAGACTCTTACTGTCGTTACTGGTTGTTTTCGAGTTGTTGAACGTTTGGATTTATCGGATCGTTCTTTCAGAGGAGAAGAAATTCGATAAGAAAATTACAAGAAAAATTTTCATTACTTCGTTTTCTTTTCTGATTAGCTAAACGCATTTCTTCTAAATGCCGGACTATTTTGTTTCGCATTTCAGTTGGATCCATTGTCTTGTCTTCACTATCATCATTCGAATCATCATCGTCTTCATCTGATTCTTGAGTTTTCTTTCGGCGACGACGTTTTCCTTTAGATTCATTGTCAGTCTTCTTTTTCTTTGCAGCTTGTTCTTCCGATTGAGATTCTAACGAATCTTCACTTGTACTACTACTTAATCCACTCAAATCATCAATGTCGCTCAGTTCGTCGATCAATTGGTCAATGTCGACGATCTCAGCTTCACGAGTATCCAGAACTTTACCAACAGATACGTTGGAATAATCCGTATTGACTTCTCGAACACGTTTCTCATATTCTACGAAAGAAAGTTCTCCTAAAAAAACGTTCAAATCGATGTTAGAACGACCGATACTTTTAAATACAGACCGTTTAGATATGCAAGCGTTTCGGCGGCGCCTGCCTTTTCATTCTCACCAGCTTGCAGATCACGAAAGTGTTTGAGAAATTTATTTGAGGCAGTCATCTTTCTGAGGTAAATCTGACTTCAAAGAGATAAAGTTTGAAAGAGTATCTTGATTGGGAAATCTCGCTCGATGTTATCATCCTATTGCGGCATCGTACGGCCAAGTGTTAAATTCGAAGAATAGAGGGCGCTTGCGTTCAACAGATTAACGTTCGCCTGTCTCATTTTCTTTTCGATTAAATGAAGATTTCCATCACATCTAGTCATTATTCTTGAATAAAGTACTGGATTATACAGAGAGAAGATCAGGTGCTTCGCTGATGTAAGGCTTTTAATGACCGACTTGATGAGATCTTTTTTTTACGTATGCTGATTTTGATTATTGTTCGACTTTCGAGAGTGCGAACTATTTCTGTTTTCTTGAAATCGAATGTTCGATTTGACGAGAATATTTCTAATAATCATATTACGCCCCCTTCCTTTACATATATAGACTGACTAGTATAAATAAATCAACCAATGATATTTTGTTTAGATTTGTGACTAATTAGAAGAAGAAAAATGAAGCAGCATTGTTGTATTTAGTTATTCTCTTCGTATCTAATCATTTTTTGGTAAGAAGTCAGCGAAATCAGAAGATAAATCTATTTGAACATCGTCATTTTTCAGAATTTATTTTTCTTTTCCATCGATATGGAAGGTAAAGTAAATAGAACTTTGTCTTGGGATTGAACTTATCGTAATATGTTTTTAAAGGTTGTCCACGACTACCCGCGATCGGTTTCGATCCAAAAGTCTCCATCGAATCGGTTAATCTATGTGAAAAAATTCCCAGTGTATGTTGATTTCTTTGTTATTTCTAACTAACAAACGTCTGTTTTAAATTTCAGTACATCACATCAACGTATCAAGAATCAGGCGATAAATATGCTAGTGAATGTGAACAAATGAATCGCCTTCGTCAAGTAAAGTTCTCTTGGAAAAGGTTCAAATGCGAATTTAAGAATTTCTTTTAGAATACAATTAATTCAACAGCAGATCAATCTGGTATTCAGCTACTGAAACAATACTACTGTCAATTACTACTATTACGTAATCGTTTTCCGATGTTACCTGAAACGGAATGTGCGGTGCGATTTACATGGTAAGATTTCCTATAAAATGTTCGTTTATATCGAATCTCAACGCGTGATATTTGCAGGGAAGATGCTTATCAAAAAGAAGAAAATTCTTACAATGATATTCGATTTGAAGAAGCGTGTATTTTATATAATCTTGGAGCAATGTATTCACGATTAGGTGCCAATGAATCACGAAGAACACATGATGTATATGAATAGATTATTCGACTTTCATTATAGAAATTCATTTATTCTTGTTTAGAGCATTAAAAATGCGTGTACATACTTTCGATGTGCTGCTTCATGTTATGAAAAAGTACGTGATCAGTACACAACATATACATCGGACTTGACTCCAGATTTATTAACATGCCAGGTTCATGTTCTTTTGGTAAGAGACTTATCTAAGAAGGACTAGAATGACAATGTTCTATCTAGGCGCAAGCACACGAAGCTGTTCTGGAGAAATCTTTATTGGACCAACGAGCAGCGTCTGTCAATGCTCACATCGCCATGCAAATATCAGAATATTATCAAATGGCACTTTTAAATCTGACAAAGCCAGGAATTAATTCCATTGTATCTAAACGATTTCGTGTAAGTTCTTCTACGATTGAATAAACTATGTAGAAATTGAGTTATGTTCGATTGGATTTCTATTTGAAACTTTTGACAGTAGAGCGGTAGAAGATGTGTCAGTCAATGCGAAGTTACACAGTTCGAATCTTACCATGAGATACTCTTCCTTTAAAGTTTCGTGCGATTACTAGTACTGGATTCACATCGTTTCTTCTTCCCATACAATGTGAACCAATCAAGATCGCAACATTAGAAGTCTTCTAAGCATCCATATCGAAATCATTCATTTGTTAATGATTTGTGTTTATGTTCAAAGACGACAATTGTGTTTGATGCTTTCTAGGAATGGCGTGTAGCTTTAACGTACAAATTATCGTATTATCTGGCTCTTGCATATTATTTTTCCGGTTTGGTTGCCGAAGAAAGTAAAAAATATGGTCAAAGTGTTTGTTATTATGAAGCAGCTGTTGAGCGATTGAAAGAAGCTTGGAAGAACGCGGAAAAAATTTCATCAGACAAGACGAACGTATTCAAAGATGCACATACATTCACCTACGATGTTGTTATGGGAAAGTATGTCACGACACAATCTTTTTGTCGCAAAAAATGATTGAAATCTTTTCTGCACAGATTCAAGGTCGCTAAACGCGATAACGATAGTGTTTATTTTGAGAAAGTACCAACATTATCAAGTTTACAAGCTGTTCAAGGTATGCGTTAATTCGACTAGATAAGACGACGAAGTATAATTGTTGAATGTATAGGTGCAATTGTTGCAAAGCCACAACCGTTCGACTGTCACGATGCAGAAGTGTGTGGACCTGATATTTTTCAAAAATTAGTGCCATTGGTAAGTTGAGATTATTTTACAAATCAAAAATAAATTTTTTTTTGTTTAAAGGATGCGCATCTAGCTGCGTCAGAATATAGCGAAGAAAAAGCGAAGCTTTTGCGTGAAATTGTCGAATTAACAGAGAATAAAAATCGAGAACTCGAGTAAGAATATGAAATTTTATATTTTTACGTGTTCAAAAATTCATTTCTAGTACATTCATGCTATGCCTTCAGTTGGATCGTATTCCATTGAATAACGAATATCTTCGTTTACCACGTGAATTACTTGAATGTTGCGCAGCTGTTGCTGCTCGTCCAAATATGTCAAAAGATCTCGTTTCAGCTATGCAGCGTATATTTCCATAGTCTCACACTTGACTTAACGCTCTATATCGAAATTTTAGAGGTAAATAGCCAACATCACGATGTAACTGGTCAGCTGGATGAGTTTGAACAAGCACTGACTAATCTCGAAGAAAAAAATGATTCTGTCAAATCAGACAAGGAGTACAAAGATTTACAAACAAATTTGAAGACTATTCGCGATATGATGATACAAGCAAATGAAAGTAACATTGGATTGCATCGACATATGACAACAATCATTGATCATTTGAAAATTCTTCAATTACCTATGGAACAATTAGAAAAAACTCTACCGATTATAACTGAATTTGATGGTATGAAACTTGTTTTCTTTGTTGAATTTTGTTCATTGTTCTTTTTCATGATTTAGATGAAGCAAATAAGGCTAAACTAGCTCGTCTGGTTTTTCTCAATGAGAAAGTTGAAACCATGAAGAAACAACGTGAAACATTACTGGCTGATTTTCGTAAGAAAATTCATGATGATGATATCACGAAATTGGTACTTATGCAAAGACAAGAGAATCACAAAGTAGAACGATGGTGGAAATTCTTCATCTACGATCGATTTTCGGGGATTTTTATAGGGTTTATTTGCTAATGAAATGAAAAAACATGAAGAGATTACCAATTATATCAAACAGAACTGTTCAGCACAAGACAATATTTTGCAATCATTGACAGAAGCGAATGCCGAGATTGCAGATGTACGAACGAAAATGGGAACGACATATGAAACGTAAATATATCAAAATCCGTTTGTTTGTTACAAGCAGGCATAATATTTGATCTCTTTTTTTTACAATAGACGTAATCGATTGATTCAAGACTATATTAATTCTTTCAAAGCTTTCGAAGATATTCTATCGAAAGCACACGAAGGCATCGAGTTTTATAAAAAGGTAGCTTTTGATTGGAAGTTCTTGAATTACTATTGTTAATTTTGCTATATATTTAGCAAAGTGCAAAACTGGTTAAACTAAATGAGCGTCTTACGTCATTACAACCGAAATACCAATCACCAACAATACCAGCCATACCGTCGAGATCATCTTTACATCGTCAAATACCATCAGCGAGACCTTCACGTCAGAGTCCATTGCCTACTCGGTACGCTCAAGATGTTCCTGAACCTCAATTTCCAACACCTAGTTTACCGCCGACAACATCCGATCGACCTCGTTTGAAAGACTATTTAGCTGCTATGAAACCGGACACTTGGGGTTCGACGACTACTCGTTCATCTAAGCGATCATCTGCTACTAGCCGTGATGATAATTTGTATATACCTCCACCAATGTCTAATATAGGCGATGGTAACGATCTTTCCAATGCTTCAATGCCATCACCGACATCGTTGCCTGCATTTAATCGACATTCATATCAAATTGAATCTGCAACACATTTTGAAAGACCATCCATGCCTCACGCACCCCTACCCGCGCAGCCTTTAGCGTACGAGCAGCCGAAATATAACCAGTCTTATCCAGTAAATTCTCATCCAACTTTACCTGCACAAAGCTTCGGTAATCAATCTCAAGTGTCCTATCAACAACAATTTTACCCTTCACAACCTGCTAGTCATCAACCCAATATTGCACCCCAGCCAACATTTCATCAGCCAGCACCGCCACAACAAACAATCCAGCAGCCACCTCCTCCGAATCAGCCTATATTTCATCAACCAGTACCAACTCAACAAATGTTTCAACATTCCGTTCCTCAACCACCTCCTACTCAGCCAATCTATCATCAGCCACCACCTACTCAGCCAATCTATCATCAGCCACCTCCTACTCAGCCGATCTATCATCAATCACAATTGCCACAACAGCAACCCATTCCGCAACAGTTACCACCGCAACCACAATTTTACTCGTCACACTCGATACCACAACAACCGATGTATCAACCACCGCCAGTACAACAACAACAACAACAATTCCATCAACCGTCTTCGTTTCAACAGCCAGCACAGCCACCATTTTCGCATCAACCAAATCATTATCAGATACCACAATCGCAACCACAACTGCCAACGACCACACTACCAACTCAACAACCAACGATGTATCAAAATCAAAGTCTCACTGATCCAAATCGTTCTGCTCAACAAGTTCCGCCACCAACAAAATTTGATCCTTATCGTCCACAACCAGTAGGAGCCTATGATATTCCTAAATCGCAAAATACACCATTCGTACCACAAATAATCCCACCATCTCAACAGCAGCAACAGCAAAATATGATGCCACCTACTGCCCGTCTTCAACCTCAAGATGTTTACCGACCTGGTGGTCTACTTTCAACTAGTTCACCACAAATACCCCCAGCAGCAAATATAAATAACAACAGCACTAGTAATAATTACAATACGAACCAATTCGTACAATTTGTACCTACTCCAACTCCTCCACTACCTCCACCAGTAACTCCTTTGATTCCATCACCTCCTGCTCCTGTACCATCTCCACCCCCACCACTTGTTCCTTCGCCATCCAGCGCTAAAGCACAAGTAGACCCAGTGTCAACTCAATCCTCGATACCTAAGATTGACGATGATCTTCTGTCAATAGCACTTGAGCAACAATTAGAAACAACAGTATCAATGTCTAATCCAAAACCAACTACTCGCACTCCTGAACCTGAATGTCTCAGTCCAATTGATGATGAATTACAATTGAAAAGTAATGGCAAACCCATCGCTTGTATCCAACCACTATCAATCAGTACAGAAGAAAAACAGCCAGTGCAATCACCTGTCACGCCAATGCCTACTTTAACTTCGCAACAATCACAAGATTCACACGATGAGAAAGATAAATTAGATCAATTAATAGCTGACGTTCAACGTTTCGAAAAACACGTGAGTACAATGACAAAGAAAACGTTAAATGGTACCGTACCGCTCGAAGTCGAATGGAAAGTAAGATACAAACCTTCGAATTTGTTACTTAGATCTAGTCATGAATACTAATTTGTAGGAATTATCAGATTTACAAGAAAAGGATGTTCACACACAAACATGTGCAATTGGTAAATGCAATCCAAAACTGAATCGTTTTCAAGATCTAATTCCTTGTGAGTTTTACTGTTCGATTCAATAGAAAACATTTAAGAATTCTATAGATGATAATTCACGTGTTCGACTCGTTCAATCCAACCACAACTCGCAGAAGCATTTCAATGATTACATCAACGCAACATTGATCGGAGTAAGGAATTCGAAGAGAAATGTTTCTTTATTTTCGCATGATTTCTCTATGTACGATTGCAGAAAATTCGTGATGCTTCATTCATTACTGCTCAATATCCATTACAAAGTACGGTTGGTCAATTTTGGTCGATGATCTACGATCAACACGTTGCTATTGTTGCTGTTCTTCTCAGGCCAGATGAAATGCAATCGATTGTAGGAAAATTCCTTTTCGATCCATTGTTAATAATCTGATTTTTAGGATGTTTATCCACAAAAAGTCGGAGAAGAGCTTCAAATTTCGTTGTTCACCATTACTTTACTCAGTACGAAGAGCCCTAATCAATTAACAAATCACCGAATCATACGTGTGCACCATTCACAAGTATGTTCTATTTATTATCGATGGTACATTCTCACTAACTTTCTTTTCCACAAACAGACGAATCAGTCAAGAACTGTTGTATGGCTCGAGCATTTCGGTTGGCCACCAAAGTACGTTGTATTTCATTGAACATCAGTCATTACCTGTTACTTCTAGAGAAATGCCAGATAATCCAGGTGAATTGTTGAAATTCACTCAAGAGGTACAACACTTTCTTACTCAAACACGAAACCCACGAAGTACAATCTTAGTGACATGCATGTAAGTTTCATTTGCTAGAACCTAAATGATAGAAATACGAGCTTTTAGGAGTGGAGTGTCTCGTACAGGCCCATTTTTGACTATATTCACAAGCATTCAAGATATTGATGAAGGTCGCTCGTTTCCCGATTTGAACAAAATAATACGTTTGCTTCGTACAAAACGTCGCAATATGATACAGGACATGAATCAATTGAAATTCGTATACGAAGCTTTACTTCGCTATGTACAGGAACGTCTAGTGAAAGGTAAGATTTCATTTTGATCTATTTTCGAATTTAATTGCTCTTTGTTAAGCTGGATTGTTAAATGTTGGTTCGATTATTCACGATCAATCCACATCGTCGAATATGAAATCAATTTCGCCAAATACAAAAACTGTCCTACTCGCTGAGGAAATGCAAACAATAATGGACAAAGCCAAACCTGTGGTGCAATCTACGCCAAATTATGATGTTGGTCCGATTCTTTCATCCACTCCAACGTCAACCATCTTGGAAGAAAAACCACCAGCGAAACAATTGACACCGATCGAAGCAAACTTTAATCTACGTCCCGAGGAGAGCCATATCAAACCTAAAACAACACGCGAAGATTTCTTCCGAACAAAACCATCAACAATGAAAGATCTATCGGATCCATTTAATCAATTAGATCCATTATGGACATTTCGTTAATTGACTTTTACGATTTATTGTGAATACAATGATCATTTATTGTTGTTGTCGTTCTTCTTCCTTTTCCAGTGCATTTTACTTTTAATCGAAATAAATTATCTAATAAACATCATCATAAAAGTCAAGAAACTACCTACGATGTTTCAGTTCTTTGTTGACTATCAACTTGGAAAGCATTTGTGAAACGATAACTACGTATAACAAATGTATTTTGTCATGTCTCATCGAGGACTATAGTAAGTGCATAAGTACGCATTCCGGTTGTGTGATAAAATTAAACTGCGTAATAAAATATTCTTGACGGAGGTGTGATGGAACTTGCTTTTTCTCTTTTAAACATGTTAACACGAATGTATAACAACAAAGGCTTGTCTAAATAGAATAAACATGTCGGATTTGCGTACGTCCACACCCCTTTCTATCAACTTCTTGTACATTTTGTATACTTAAATGACTAAAATAGCAGAAAGAGATAAAATTTTACTTGACTATGTACGATTCGTTCGTCAGTTAGGTTCGTCGATTTCGCTTTACTTAGTCACGTGGATTTCTCGTTCTCATATAAAAGGATAACTCCGATGTTATTCCACGCCCTTTTGATAATAAATCAACTACATGAAGATCTTATTGACTAAACTTATTTTTCTACGTTTTAGCTTTCGAACATGTCGCTTGATCTCGTCAGTACACTACCATATGATTCCATCACATCATTAGTTCGAAAAGCTGCTTACGGTCTCGTCACAACATGTATACTCGGTACTGCAGTGTATGCTGGATATCGTGTGGCTTTACCAGAGAAACACCTTATAAAACGCCATCGACATCCTGAACTCAATGATCAAGTACGCGAAACGAACGGAATAGAGCATTCTGTACTTTGTTTTTTATTTAAACTTAGATCGAAAAAGTGCTGGACTCATTGAAAATCTCTGATGAACAATTGATACATATGATGCATATCTTAGAAGAAGAAATGAACGCTGGTCTTTCTCCTGTAACGCATAAAAAAGCCAGTGTGAAAATGTTTCCAACATATGTCCGAAACATTCCAAATGGTACTGAAGTTGGTCAAGTTCTTGCACTTGATTTGGGTGGAACGAATTTTCGTGTACTTTTGATCGATTTACATGGTAATTCCAAGATTGAACTAACATCAAAGATTTTCGTTATTCCGCAATCCACTATGATCGGAGATGGCAAACATGTAATTTATGCTTATTCTATTGACGGAGGAAGTTATCGAAATCGTTTTTGTTGATTTAGTTATTTCGACATCTGGCTGAATGTTTAGAAGAATTTATGCAAAAAGAAAATATATTAAACTCAGGAACATGTTATCCATTAGGTAGGATTATCGAATATAATGGTTATTTCGAGATTTGTTTCAACGACTTCTTTAGGTTTTACCTTTTCATTTCCGTGTCAACAGGAAAGTTTAGCGTCTGCTCGATTAACAGCATGGACGAAAGGTTTTAGTTGTTCGGGTGTTGTTAATGAAGATGTTGTGAAACTTTTACAAGAAGCAATCAATGAAAAGGTAGCTTTCGACATTCGCACTACAAATTACGTAGACACTCTTTACAATACATGTTATTTTCTCATAGGGTATCAACGCGAAATGTGTGTCCTTAGTCAATGATACTGTTGGAACACTAATGGCATGTGCGTATAAAGATCCATCGACAGCAATCGGTCTTATATTAGGCACAGGAACAAACGCATGTTATATCGAAAGCTTAGATAGAGTAGGAACATGGAACGGCGACTATAACGAACCCAAACAAGTGATTATCAATACGGAATGGGGTGCTTTTGGTGATAATGGTCGTTTAAAACACCTCCGAACAAAGTACGACGAAGAAATTGATATTTCATCAATTAATCCGGGCAAACAGATGTAAATAATTGATTTCGTATTTCTGTGAGTTTTCTTCTTCTCTCTTTTTCTTTAGTTTCGAAAAAATGATCTCAGGAATGTACATGGGCGAAATCGTGCGACTGATTATTTTAGATCTATTGCAACATGAATTACTTTTCCTCGGCCATCGAGATACATACAGTGATTACAAGGCTGCACTCTACAATCGTGGTGGTTTCTATACCAAATTTGTATCCACTGTGGAAACTGATGAAGGTAATCTCTAGATTTAATTGAATTAACGGCACTACAAAGACGTCTCTTTTCGTAGGTATTAAATTTTCAAATACACGACGAGTGCTCGAAGATATTGGTATTCAAAATCCCACATATGATGATTGTGCTATCGTTCAACATATCTGTCGACAAGTATCAAAACGAGCTGCACGATTAGCTGGTGCTGGTATGTAATCCATTTACTAGCGAACTATCTGAATAACTCCGATTTTGATGATGATGAATAGGCTTAGCGGTATTGATTAATCGTATTGGTAAAAGCAATATTACCGCCGGTGTCGACGGATCACTCTATCGATTCCATCCACGATTCAAACGTAATATGGAACGATGTATGGAAACATTAGTGAACAAAGACATCAAGGTATGAAGTTACTTAATCGATATTCTAACTTTTTTGAACTATATCATTCGATTTTCTAGTTCAAATTGACACTATCCGATGATGGTAAATGTGTTCTCTATTTCCTAACAAATCCTACGATCTATTTCTACTTTCTAGGCAGTGGCAAAGGTGCTGCAATGGTAGCGTGTGTTGCTGAACGAATTTTTGAGCATGATAAAGAAACAGCTGATTATGAAACATTAACCAAAAGTCTGATAAACTAATTTTATATCCGAACAATCATCATCTCTTTCTACATTTTATACTTTTTACAAATTTACGCTTTCTTTCTTTCTGATTCGATCTTTTGTAAACTATTTTTTCCTTTCTTTTTATGTATTTTATCCGTAAACTAGTGTCAGAAAGCAATAAACGAAAGAGATTCATGTCAAATAAATGTAAAATAGGAAAGATTGTTTCTTGATGACATCATATTTAACTCCGTATTTGTTTTCGTTTGTTCAATTAGATACGACACGCACCTACACAGCTCAATGTTGTTCGAACTTTGTGTACTCGTGTAAACAACATTGTTGTTTTTTCATATTATGACTATATGTTAATTGCTTTCCATACCTGAAAATGCAATTATTTTCTTCAATCTACTGAAATATTTTATGATTATAAACGAACTTAATTAGGGCAAATGATAATGATTATTATGACATTAAAGCCATTCGATCTATATACAAAGAGAATCAACATTATTACTCACTCTAGAAACGACTGAAACTAGTCTAGTGACCAATTCCATCTAATCGATTGCAACATTTTACTCAAAAATATTCTATTGCCTTCCGATCAGTATGGTTTATCACACTTTTTTACTGATCTTAACGTTGACCAGATGGCGATATACAACTTACTTTTGTAAATGAGAAAATTCTAGCCTCCAAACGGCTATCTACTTATGTTCATTAGTTATCTGTACAATTGAAAACAGCTTTCTAAAGTTTAGTGTACAAATTTTCATATATGCGCATAAAAATGATAATTAGTTACGATAAAATAGCCGAAACAGATCAACAACATGATTGTACAGATGTACAAAAGCAAAATAGATTTTGTATTTTTCTTTCATTCGGTAGTCAAATGATGAAAACATTCATGCATAGCTTTCATTTTTCGACATTCATACTTCACCCGTCGAAACCAAGGTACACCGTATCGATCATTTGAAAATATAGACAACTAATATAGTATTCAATCTGAAGCCTGTCACGATGAGAAAATTATTCAAGCAAATCAATGACTATGACGTTTTACTAAATATGAGAAGCCAGATGAATAATTTATTAGTGAAGAAAAAAAATGAAGAAAAACGAGGTTTAGAGGGTTAGTTATGATCGAAAGAGCCAGCATAGTGGAATGTGGAAGATTTATGGAAATTACCAGGTTTATTAACGAAATGTTTAATCGAGAGATAAAACGGATTGTTTTGGGTTCTGCATGAGAGTAAGGAGAATTAATACAGAAAATTGTGGAAAAAAAGAAAAGTTTTTTGGAGTGTGCGTTGCATAGGATTAACCCACAACGGAGCCAGTTGATGAACTGGGTGTTGGAATAACGTAATCTATAAAGAACAGAGATGAAAATGATGTTCTTCTTTGTAGAATATTCCACTTACTTGATGAATAAGTGATGACCACAGTAAAGATGACGTTCGTGTAAGTTGTACCACTAACAATGACAGTGACAATAATGGTGAATGTTTTAATCTTTGCTCGGAAAGCGCTGCCATCACATCGTGCACCACATCGTTTTCGATTGAACGCGAATGGGCAGTAAACTATGCTTATAGCACGGCGGTGTCGTATAAGACCACTGAAAAAAAATCCAAACAGTGAATTGTATCCTTTTTGATCGTTTTTAAAACTTACAATCCTCGTCGTTTACGTCGGCCTGAACTGTTCGCAGTTGATGTGCCAGAGTTTACAGAAAATGAGCCGGACGGTATGCCTGTAGCTGTTTCTGACTGTGAAAATAAATCAGTTATATAACAAATATGTTCAGTTTCTAGTCATAGATATACTAACAGCAGAGGCAATGGTGCTAAGTGAATCTGAGCTCAGCGTACCTTCTCCACCGAAGCTTCCGTTTGTAGGTGTCATTGTCATTAAATAAGTTGGAGAGTAAGTGCCTTAAATAAACAAAACCTAATGACAAATCAAAAAACTGAATCGTGTAATTACTGGAGTTGCTATCTCGTGTTGAAAGATAAACTGGAATCAATGCCAGAACGATAGTTGATGCAATAAGAAAGAGAATAAAGAGAAGACAGCATATGGCCAAAAGTGGACCACTAGCAGCTAAACCAGAGCTATAGAAGATCAAGATTAGATTGCTCAACTATGAAGAATTTATCTACTCACCGACGAGCACCACCGGCGGCAACAGCTGGAGGAGGAGCGTACATCTTCGCTACAGCAACGATTTGGATTTCAGATGGTGAATGAGAAAAATATTCATTTGTGGCACGAATATCATCGGTTTATATACGTTTTTTTCACGCTTTATTTTTTTTCGGGGATGCCCATCACTTTTTTCTCTCTCTCTCTTTTGTTTTTAGCTAAAAACCTTGAACAAATCAATTTTATTGGTTACTACCGTTTTTTCTCACTAGTCTCTCTATCATTCATATTTTTCTCTCGCCATTGATCCGAATCATTAGTCATTAAATTATCTCATTGGGTAAGCCTACCGCACAGATATTTCGAAAAACGAAATCATCAAACTATGACGGCAGTATAGCAGGCAACTTAAGCGAAAGAGAGAAATCTCGTCAGATTGATTGTGTTTATGTAAACATATATCTTTCTCTAATATGATCATGTATACCTGCAAAAGAATGGATTAAATTTAAATCATCATACACTCGTTAACCGATTGATTCGAAATTTCTCGTTTGTTTATTTCGTCAATGATAAACCAATATTGATGATATATTGTCAATTTCATTATGAATTGTTTCGAAACACACCTGAGATTTGAATGAGAAAATATGTGCTTTGTGTCTGTATACAATTGTTCTACTGGTTAACTCGGAATTTATCCTGACATCATAAATAGATCGACGAAACTAAGGTACAAGTAAAATCTCGGAAGATAGTTATATCCGATTTGACGTGGATCCGTACATTTCTTTTGGTTAGTTGTTGATCAGATGAATTTTTCTTTTTGGGTACATCAAACGTTCGATACAAAAAAAAAGCGATGATAGATATTTAATATATGTTTATTTCGTGATTTTCATACGTTCTTTCTTTCAAATCATGGCGAGGCGTAAAAATCATATAATTTCTCTCTTCTCAAATCGATTCGGTGATTTTTTATGATAATTCGCCAGACCTTCTCCAATATTTTTAACATCAATACAAATAAATCAAGGGCATTCATGCATAAAAGAAAAACGAAGATTACTGCCTAATTAATCTTCGCCCACAAATTGTATTTTATTTCTATTTCAAAATCTTATCATACGTTTTACTCGAATACTTAAATATATAAAAACATCAGTATGTTCATGGACATCAGAAAAAAGCTCCGAATCATATGTTCAAGGCCTTCGTCTCTAAGGACTCGGCTCGAAATAACACGTGGTAATCTATAGATATACACCAGTCGAACGTATCGAAAAAAGGTATGAATGTCCTTGTATTTTGTTCGTTAAATCGTGTATTGTTTTGACATGTATTGATGGTTTGATATTTTCATGAAGTCGATTCACTATTTAAAAGCAAATGTGACAAAACGTATCATCAACAATGTGACGATTTAAACACAATAGATTGTATCTTTTCAATATTTATGATAGGTTTTTACAATACAAACAAAAGTAAAAGGACATTTATATCAGGTTTTCCTGACTAGCGATTGATGTTTGAAATCGTCGCTGAAAACATCTTCATAGATACGAAATGAAACATTATAATTGTGTATAGCTACCTAATTCATGAACGAACATTTCAAAAATAAATCTCATCCGAAAATTTCACTTTTTACAAAAGAACGTACAGATGAGTTATAAATCGATCAAATAAAAACCACCACTAGTCTTGAGATCTATGACAGTTTTTATTTTCATTCTATTCATTTTTTTCCGAGAAGATTTAGTTCGTTTATATTCGAACTAGAAGTAGGCGAGGTCATATGAAAATTGCAGTCATGACAAAATTCGATTAATAATATTGTCGAGCAAAGTACAATTCGCATTTCGTATTATTGTCATTATTTATACTTTTTGTGTACAATAGATATCATTGATCAGATGAAATAAAAGACGAAATGATTGTAGATATTAATCAAAAGGTAAACTGTCATCAAATGGTAAAAGTCCATTGGAGAACAAAATTAGTAAATTAATTGATAAATCTTTTTTCTTCATACAAAAATGAAAAGGAGTTTTTTTTTCATAACAAAATAGAAAACATGGAAATGTACATTTATTGTTGGTTTACTATTTCAGTTCGATTGTATCATCATATTTTGAACCAGGAAAGTTCTCCTCGCCGATCAGATGATATGGCGGCGATGTTAATGCACCGGATCGAGTTATAATGACTGTTCGTAAATAGATGACTGATAGAACAAAAGAGATGATGCCAGTGGCAAGAATCTTATTGTAATACGTTTGCTTTTTGCCATTACTTTCGTTCCAATCACCTTCAGCTTTCGGTAACCAGTCTAGAGTAGCCTTTTGCCGCCATAAACGTTCATAACGTGCGCGATATGGATCGATTTCATTGCCGATTTGACTTGAATTTCGTCGAGAATTGCTGAAATAGACGCCATTGACATGTTGTACAGTCATGATTGTTGTACTTGGTGTTACTATTCGTGCAAGCATATTGAATTGAAAAAATATCTGGAAAGATGTGATTTCATCGTAAACAGCTTGAACATTGTCGGATCGCTTGTCTCTGACTGAGAAATATAGTCTAAGAAAGGAACTCTTTCGACATGGGAGAAATTCCGATAGATAGCGCTGTAAACCTCTATCGAGTCTTTATTTATTTTTATTTCTATACCAATCATTTCTATTGCTTCATTCATTTTGTCCATTCACTTTTTTACTTCAACATCTACTGCTCTCTATCGTTTAACAAACTCTACAGACATATCATCAAAATAGAATATTCTTATTTATTGTATTCTATCTTTCATCCTTCTTATTCATTCTATTGCCATGACCCGACGGGTTGCGAGGAGTTTATGTAATAACATTTATCTAAACTCAGTCAGTTGTACAAGTCGATTGTTTTTTTTTTTGTTGTTTTTTTTTCTTTCGCCTACACAAGTCATATGTATAGTTGTGCACTTTTCATAAATAACATATTTATCGTTTAGATTGAAACATAAATCGAACGGATGTAAAATGTCGAATTCAAATACCAGTCAAAGACGTTTATTTAAAGATTTACAAAAAATCCAAAGTGAAGAATTGCCAGGTTAATTGCTAAAACTCGCCAAATTCTTTGCACATTTCCTTGTTCTGGATTCTTTCCAGGTATTAACGCAACTCCTGTCGATAATGATATGCGTGTATGGAATGCTTTAATAGATGGACCTGTTGATACGTGCTACGAAGACGGACTATTCACACTTCGAATGGAATTCACAGGTAGGAATAGCAAAACAAGTGATTAATTATTCATCAACATCTGCTGATCTCTTTCAGATACTTATCCATTAACACCACCAAGCGTTCGATTTACTTGTAAAATGTTTCATCCTAATGGTGAATAACTTTGTAGGACATTGTCACACTTCGTCAATGTTGACTTTTTTCTTACTCTAGTATATGCCGATGGAAGTATTTGTCTAGATATTTTACAACGAAACTGGAGTCCGACATATGATGTGTGTGCTATATTAACATCCATTCGCTCATTGTTAAACGATCCGAATCCGAATTCGCCGGCGAACAATGAAGCAGCGAAGTTATTTCTAGAAAATCGACGTCTCTATGAATCAAAAGTACGTAAATTAGTTGAAGAGTCGATCATGGCTGATCAAATAAGCAATGATTTAAAAATAAGTGATGACAATGATGATGAAAATAAAAAGTCCAGTGATAAAACATCGTCATCATCTGCATCGACTAATGCAAATACTGAAAATAATAATAATGACAATAATAATCAAGAAGGACAAGCCACAGCATCATCAAATCAATAACCATTCTCTTCTTCTTCTTCTTCTTCTTCTCTTTGTCCGATCAGTCTCATTTATTGTATCTTTCTTCCTCTTTTTTTTTTCATTTTGCCTCCATCCTCCAAGCAGAAATAACAAACAAATCTTTCTCATACATAAAAATTTAAAAATATGTATAGTTCAAATAAAAAGTAACGCACATTACGATTTCAATCATTTTCTTCTAGATGTAAAATTTATGTATATATATGCAAGTTTACTTCACTAAGCATTGCTTAGTCAATGATACGTCCACAACGAGTTCCGGGACGTTATGTACACAATCAATCATCGAATGAGACCAATTCATCATCGACAAATGCTGGGGATATCACGTCATATATTGGAAAGATTTTAATAATCAATCATCATCAAGTAGTCGTGGAAAATATTCTTGGCCAAGGTGGTTTTGCGTTTGTCTTTCTTGTTCGAGCATATAATCAACAAAGATATGCACTCAAACGCATGTATGTTAACAACCAACGCGATTTACACGTTTGTCAACGTGAAATTTCGTTGATCAAAGAATTTTCAACGCATCCAAACATAATCAAATACATCGATTCCTCGATAAATCGATTGCCGTCAACAAATGTTCAACGACGGCAATACTATCCAGGTGAAAACGATAATGGAAATGATGAAGATGATGCTATTTATGAAATTCTCTTGCTAACAGAATATTGTGCCAACGGGGCATTGGTTGTAAGTTCGCATTTCTTTGATCAATGTCAAAGCCTAAGGTCTATTTAAAATTTTTCTCCTTTCAGACTCGTCTTAATGAACAGCATAGTGTTGGTTTAACATTAAATGAACATCAAATTTTACGTATATTTGCTGATGTATGTCATGCTGTGAGCGCATGTCATTTTCGGCGTCCTCAACCAATTTTGCATCGTGATATTAAATTAGAAAATATTCTGATTAACTCTCTTCAAAACTATGTTCTCTGTGATTTCGGTTCAGCTATTTTGCTATCAGCATCAACAAACAATGATTTTCAACAATATCCTGTGAATCAATTGACAACTAATATCATTCAACAGCTTGAAGAAGAAGTTCAACGTTATACAACATTGTCCTATCGTGCACCGGAAATGATTGATCTGTATAGTCGATTACCAATCACTTTAAAAGCTGATATTTGGGCGATGGGTTGTCTACTTTATAAATTGATGTACAACACAATGCCATTCGGCGATAGTATTTTAGCTATACAAAACGGAGCATTTGTTATACCGGATGATATGGCACAGACATATAGACGAGAATTGAACTTACTCGTTCGGTACATATTAGAAATTGACATCAACAAACGACCAGATATTTGGCAGGTGAGAATCATCATTTTGCTTTTTCTGTCATGATCATCCCGTCTCCTTAGGTTTCTTATTTGACATATAAATTACTTGGCACTGAATGTCCTATTCCTAATCGGTGTCAATCAAAGATTCCTGATCTGAAAGGCGTATCGATGCCATTGACCGACAGTGAAGCTCGATATCGGCGAACAAACGCTCTATCAAAGATAAAATCAACTTCGACTAATGTTCTGGATGAATCATTACCTCTGGGCACAGCGGTTAATCCACGTGAACGTCCCCGAGGAATGATGGCACCTTCAACTTCATTGATCAATTTTAATCAAACTCCTCACCAAGCTCCTACTCTTTCTGTCCAACCACCTCCATCATCATCTTCAGCAAATCCATCACGATCGGGTTCCGCAGCTCAATTGATGTTCGATGATGATTTTTCTAAAATTCCATCCCATGCAATCAGTTTAACGAGTATTTCCACAGCAGCAACATCAAGCGCGGCAAACGAACAAAATATATCTCGCGTGCGACCGTCACCACCACCAGCGACTGTGTCCACTGCATCTGGTTTCTCTTTACAGCAACAACTCTTCCCTCTTCCACCACCACCGACCGCGTCTTCACTCTCAGCTTCTAATCTTCATGCGCATCGACGTAGTTCATCGCAAACATTCAGTCCAACGAATATCCAGTCGTCTTTCCCAATCGCCTCCTCCGCTGATTTATCTAATTCGCAAGAAGCATCAAATGACGATAATGATGCTGAAGAAATCACAACAAATTTTTCCAAATTCAAAGTCCTCAATATTTCAGATTTACATGCGGATGATGATCAAGTATTTCTAGCGGACAATCAAGTGAGTCTTTCGTTTTGTACGTTTCATAGGTACAGTATTGTGATTTGTTTTTTTTTGTCTATAGAAGTCTAGTACAAAATCCATCAGTCATCATCCATCAACGGAGGAGGCGGAAAATAAAACCTTTTTTCCCAATTCATTTGATTATTTCATCGTACAGCACAACCAATCCAAATCAGATTTTCAGAACCATTCAAATGAACATGACCTACGAAATAACACTGACAACGGATTCAACCGACTTGTCGACGATGATTCAAACGCGGAATCCTATCATCATTCGACTTCATCAAATAACTATGCAAATGCATCCAATAATTCTTTTGCTGATGTGAACAATCCATTTCTTCGTGCACCATTTAATCGTTCATCTGGTAGTAAGCAAACATTAACCTCATCATCGATCAACAGTGATCGAATAATAACTACTACTAATTCGGTTGCATTCGATCCAAACAGTATCGTCATTGGAAAGAAAGCAAGTGCGTTTACTCCTTATCAAAAGCAGCCAATTCATGCTAACAATACTAGTATGTAACTCATCTTTCAATCCGTAAAAGAATTTCAACTTTATTTGATTGTAGTGAATGATGTTACAAGTCTTTTGAGTACATCGATGTCGAAATTACCTCATTCCGAAGCCTTTCCTTCAGATAAATCGTTATCTTCAAGCAACGTCTTTACAGCTGCTCCCTTCAAAGCAAAATCCAAGAACAAACAGCGTCCAATAACACCGAATAAAGACGACGACATGAATAACAATCCTGAACAACAAGGATATTCGAATTTATCATTTACCGATGCTGTTCAAGACAATTATTTCTGATGAGTACGCCGGTGATTGATCAAAAAAAAGTCTATTTTTTTTGTGAAAGTAGTATCATTCCATAGACACTGTATGTTTATTGCAAATATTTCTATAGCACATTATTCTTTCTTATTCAATAATCTTGCGAAACAAACAAACAAACACACGACTTTGAACGATGCAATAAATCGAATTTTCTTTATACATGTGTGTTTATGTGTGCGTGTGTATATGTAGAAGAATATTTCTAGTTCTTTTTTGTTTCTTTTTTTTTACTACGCAGAGTTATTTTGAAAGGAAATCAATAAATCAATTCGTGAATATCTTATCCGATCATGTTGGACAACGAATGCACCAATCAGAAAGGAGCGCTGACGGATAAAATTGAACTATTTACAATTTGCATTATTTAAAGAAAATGACGCGTTTCTCATGTTATATAATTTTCTATTCGATGTCGTTCCTATCGGTCACCATAGCAACGGAAGCTCTTCAACATTTACTAACGATATCTTTCGTGAAGTGTTTGTCAAAAAATCATTTGCTTTTTCCGTTCTCATTTGTTATTGTATGTGATAAGCAATGGCAAACAAAACTACTAATCGACAAAAATCAATTAAAGAAGAAGACGAGCATAATATAAAGTATCTTCCATTTAATATTCAATGGCTTGACTCGAGTTATCAACAAACACTGTTGCCGGACAGTCCTTGGCAAAAAGTAAAATACCTTAGGATGTAGTTCATTGAGTTGAGCTCGATTCTGTAATAGATACTCGATGATTTGGAACCTGCATTAGCCAACAAAGTTCGTCAGCAATTCAATAATCCCGAACGACGACAAATCTTGATTGAATTACTCGGTAGACTTTTTCATATCAAACTACTTCGATCAGAAATGTTCCATCCGAATTCATTAGTTCGTATAAACAGCTTTGAGTATAGAAACAAAATGAGATTCCTTCGATATCGTTTAGCAACCGCCAGTAATGTCAGACGAGCATCGCCGTAAACTAGAAAACGAAGCTAAATCATGGTTGCAAATCCAAACGCATAAATCGGCACTCGAGATCGGCGCAGGTATGAAAACAAACATTCAGTTCTCCACTTCATATGATTATTCCCTTGTTTTCTTTAGCGGTCACGGAAGATGAAGAGTGAATATTGAATAACAATTGAAAAATTTCCCTTCAAAAGATCATTTTGTTTTAGTATTAATAAATTATCCAATGATATGAAGAACTTTCTCGAACATACCTATCAAATCGTTCGCAAAGCTTTAGAACGTTATCTGTATCAAGTGCAAGAGAAAGAAAATAACAAACAAGAAGAACAGAAATTGAATGAAACGAATCGAAGAAAACATTTAGATGATTTGAATGGCGGTTCGAAATTACGATCGATTCTGCGAGATTCGAAAACGAACTCAAAGAAGTTACCAATGATTACTGGTTTGTACAAGACCATGGAAAGTGATGATGTTCAAATTGTTTTCATTGTAGAATTACCGACAGTACCGTATCCAATGACATCGGAATATAGCGATATCGTTTCGAATTCGGTTGTGGCTTTACTCAAACGCGATCCACGTCGTGTGATCTTTATCACGGAAAAATTGTTCGGTCAACAAATTCCACTTTCGCTTCGTCAATTTATCTGGACTGAATGTTTACTCCGTGTAGAAAAGAAACCACATGATTATGATCTAGTACAACGATTTTCACTTTTAAAAGAAGAAGTTTGTTCTTTATCTGTTCACTAGAGTCTTGTTGAACTTCAAGTTCGACGTGAATTTGCAGCTGGTATCGCACGTGGTAAAACTGATCTGAAATTAACTAATCCATCCAATACTCCCGTTACAAATCTTATCGAAAATGCAGTTATAGAAGTACGATACCTTCGTAGACACCAAAATCTTCTCTTGTAGCTTTGAATATTGATTTCTAGACATACAGCAAAGTTCATGCGCTCCAGCCATTTCTTGAAGAGCATCATCTGAGGTTCACGATCAGAATTCTCAACGTTCTCTATACATATAGAAAAGACTACGAGCCGTATTTTATCTATTGGCTGTTACCATTCCAGTTGTCGTATCGTGATGAAGCAAATAAAGGTAGAAAGATTATTGATATCTCCAATTATCATTCGACTGATTTAGAGGAGGAAATCTATGTGATTGCTATGCACTTGGATTTATTTGTTCGTCATTGTTTTCCCGAATGGACAAATGTTTTCTCAATTGCTAGCAAAATCATGACAGATTTATCAACAAATGATCCCGAATTCTATGATCACTTGAAGACGATATCGAAAGTTCGAACAAAGATTAATCCGAAAGTAAACGAATCGAGTCGATCGATCACATCACGACATGTTTGCTTTTTCCTATTCAAACAGGATTTCGTGGCAGAAATTATTTCATTGGAAAGCAAACAAAGTGGAAGTGCATCGCAATATTCCCGAGATCTCATGGCTGATCCAGTCATCTTCCTTCGAAAATGGATCGGAGAAGTAAAAACAAACATTAACACATACGGATTGTCATACTCGTTCTACTTTGTATTCACATAGTTATTTTTTGGTATTCTTAATTCAAATTCAGCTCTGTATCTATGGGATCAGTTCTTTATGATCAAATGGAATACGCAATATATCGAACATGCGGCAAAAGCTATTCTCTATTTGCTCCGTGATCGTTTTATGTATGCTACTGACTACGATGAGATGCGCAAAGTTTTTCTCGACGAACCTTGTCTTTTGCATACATTGGATGTTCAAGCTGCATTTGTTCATTTGGCTTTGAAGAATGAAGATCCGAAATATATACCTGCAATGAACCAACGTTTATATCCAACGAAACAAACCCTACCGCAGAACAGTAATTATCAGCAAATTGTCAATCGAAAAAAAGCTTATCTAGAAACAATTGGTGTGAAAGATATATCGTTGACATTAGCTTTACCTGTGAATTCGTCGGCTGTAAGTAGCGATTTTGATGACAAAGTAAATCGAACGGGATTTGCATAGAGTGGCGGATTACAAAATGATTTCGATATCAAATCAATCACTGTAGAAATTCAAGTTTATGGGACAGGAGAAAAAATATGTGATGTGACAACCGGATCAGTACCACATCTTCGTACGTGTATTTGATTCAACAATCTCGAAAATAATGAATTCGATATGAACTTTAGGAGACAGAGAAGCAGCTGTACAAAACTGGCAACGATTTATCATCGATATTCCTCATGAGAAATTGATTCTAGCCATGAGAGAAACTCGCCAGTCATTCATGCCCACACGTATTCAAGCACTGGTTATCGTTCGACAACGTTCGAATGGTACTACTAATGACAGTCTATTCTTGACTTTCACTTCTGAACTTTAGATACACTCGGCCATTGTCGTTTTCCATTATACATACCTCAGAAAATTGGTAATTTGGACACATGGGATGTTACATATGGACCTGTCATACGTACTCTTCATCCCGGCATGCCTCCCGTTTCGATCGACATGATTCCTGATATACCAAAAGTATTCGCAACGGGTGAGTTATTTCGTAGAAATGTTTTCTCTTGCATACAAACGATCGCTTTTTCTTTAGATAAAATCGGTCCCGGATCAACGGTTTCTTTAACTATTTTTGATCCTAAAGCTGAACAGCACTTTAGCCAGTAAGTTTACCGCTTGTCTTGTCGCATCTGTTGTCAATGAGTAACTTCAATTAGGAATAACGTGTCGACAGAAATGTCGGCTAAATTTTTTCAGACACTTTCATGTAAGAAAATTGCTCTTAACGCTATTATATATCAATACATACATATATTTCCCGGAAAAAACGATTTGATTATTTCTTTTCTTTGATTATCAAATTCCTTAGCATGTTATTATATTTTTTGCATTGCACTTCTAATTCTCGTATATCTTCTAGCAAGTCGATTGTCTATTGATTCAATTGATATTTTTCGTCTTTTTAGAAAATGATCGAATAGTTCCGACTTCCAAATCGACTTTCTTTCAACGAGATGAATATCATCGAAATGTTGTACGATGGTTTTATTCTATTGATATATAATAAATGAAAAGACAAGAGAAGATAATTGTGCTTAGAGTGTACTTCTTATCATTTATTAGATTGACATAATTTCAAACCGTAATAAAAAAAAAGATTTTTGTCAAGCTGTAAAAGATTACGGTGTTTTTCGTTCTTTTGGAAATTCGACGAAGGTGAAAAAAAAAACTTTCTTGTTCTTGTGATTGATTACCAAACACTACATCTTTTCGCTGGACTATTGTTTTGACCAGATGTACAACTGAACACTTTCTCAAATTCTTCAAAATTCGATGTTGGACCGATAACTCTAAAGGAAACAGTGGAATATATCGTTTGCTCATAACATCGAACAAAATTCACAACACATCAACCTTCTGTCAGGACGTGAGAATACCTGAATTGGCCAGGTGAATGGACGCCTATGAGAACTCTATTCAATGCATTGGCATCTGTCATTTTCGAACACCAGACTTGTCCGTAGTTAATAAAAAACAACTGTTCACTTGTATAATTAGTCAAACCGGGTAGTCGTCTATCGACATTTCCATTCGCTTTCGTCCAATTTCGGTAAGACTATAAAAACAAACAAACAAGCATGCACATGCAATGAATATACAAACGAAATAGCAAACGAATAAAAAAAGCAAACACATCAAACATCAAGACATAAAATACAAATCGAACTACCGATATTCATCAATGGCATGACCAGTCGATTGCTTTTTCGCCAATCGCTTTACATACGCTACGTAATCAGTGTATTCTGCATAACAACGTATGCGAGCAAACCAGATAAAAAACAATTGTTCGCTCGTATATTTTTTCAATCCAGGGAGATTTATATCATTTGTTGTCAAGGATAATTTTTTATATGCCTAGACGTGAAACAAATTATTGTTTCGAATTAAATTATCAATATTAGCATTTTGTTTTCATACGAGATCGACTTCAAATCATAACTTACATAAAATGCTTCTTTTATTCCACCATTATCCGCTATATTTTCTCCTTGAGTTTGACTACCATTCACCTGAAACGATACCGAATTGCCTGATGAAGAAAATGGTCACAAATTCCTTACTGTTTTATTAATTTGAGCGACAGTATAATTACTGTATTGATCAACTATACATGCTTTACGCTCAATAAACTTATCGATAGTCTCTTGTGACCACCAAGGCACACGGTTTCCGTCTTTATCAAACTGACGACCATTATCATCGAAACCATGAGTGATTTCATGGCCAATAACTGCTCCAATTCCTAATAATATGCTTCATTTTCTATCGAAAGTTTGTCGATCTGACATAAACTTACCACCATAGTTAAGATATCTATATGAAATAAATGAATAATTTTCATCAATTAAAGATCATCAAAACAAAGACACTCACTTGGGTGCGTCCTTATGGAAAAATGGTGTCTGTAATATACCAGCGGGGAAACCTGTGAATAACATAATTACATCGGTGATATGAGAAGCAAACAAATCACTACTTACTGATCTGATTTCTTGATGGAGTGTAAAAAGCATTGACAACAGTCGGTGGACTTGTACCCCACGCTTTTCGATCTACCGTTTCACGAAGTCGTTGAAGACTTTCTCGAGATTTGATTTGTAATAGTTTCAATACATTGGAGATATATGATCCATTGAAAGTATACTGTAAATATACAAAAAGATGACTGCTAGATGAACATGTTAAACTCTTTCTTACGGCAGAGTATATCCGTTCCAATTCAGTTGTATTACTATCGCCAACATATTTTGGATAACCAATCTGTTCATCGATTGCCCTGGCCTTGAACAGAAGAAATCTTAGCAAAATCAATCGGGAAACGGAATGTGCGTGATACTTTTTCTATAGCTTTCTCTTTCGAATCATCATCCATCCATGTTGAGTTTTGGACCATTTCAATAAAAGCATTTCGAATGTTGCTAATCATTTCCGATGACTAAATCAAATATCGACAAGAAGTTCATCACTTTTTTTTTGTTTTGAGGAAGAATGCTCTACCTGATTTTTTGCATTTTCATCAAAATATCGAGCGACATAAACTTTCGATACGGCAAATCCCATGTTGTTATTAACAAAACTTCCACAGACGATTGAACGTGCGCGCTGTGAACTGGTACCTCGAAATTCTCGATCAAATGCTTCTCGCGTCAAACGATAACGTTTGGGCAAATCCGAAACACGATTCATGACAAAACGCCATATAGCATAGTTCTGTATAACGCGAGTTTGCGATTGTGATACGACTTCCGATGCATTTCGTAGAAAATCCAAATCACTGATTGAAACAATGTCACTGTCATTCAATGTGACATTTGCTGATAGGTAAACTTGTCGTAAATAATTGGTGAATTCAAACTAAATTCATACGAGAAAAGTAGTATGATGAACAAGAAGAGCAATAGTTTACATCGGTGGTGAAAGTTTGCGAGAGATTACCGATCGTTGTACGAACAGTTTCATTTTGTTTAGCACGTTGTTCTGCCGGTGTTAGATGATACTAAATATGCTTGACATAGGAAAGATTAATGAAACAAAACGTTAGATTTTACTCGTGAAATATCCTTTTCAAATGCGAAAATGTCATCCACATCTTGCTGCAACTGAGTCGTGTTTGTAACATTCGTCAACAAAGATGCTAAATCATAAATAAATTGTCGATAAGCATTAGTGACACTTGTTTCATTATCATATCGTGTTCTTTGTTCCAAAGCGAGATCACTTTGCGAAACCTTTATTTGTTCAAAACTCAAATGAGAAATAATTCAACGCGAAAGCTAATCTTACTCGAACGAAATAAACAGTAGAATTCTGATCATCGATAGACGTTCCAAAACTGTAGATTATATTTTGATTGTATTCACGTAATTTTTGTAGTAAAACACTTAGATTATACGTCGAAGCATTCCACGCGGAATTCTGAAGTATTGGCCAACCGCCAAACTCGGTGTTGATTGTAGAGAGCAACGTATTGACACCGATTGTTTCAATGGTCGCTTCATCAACGCACGAATCATAGAGAACACGAGTATTGTTGATACATTGAATATTCGTCATGTCAGTTGGAAGTGGTAGGGTCAAGATATCTAAGTGCAAATCGGTAGAGAATCAAAGCTCTTGAAAAAAAAATCAAAAGTACATCGATTAAGTCATCTTTTTTCGACATGAGTAATGACATTCATGATCGTAAATTAAGCTCTTAAGTCATGTCAAATGAAGAATGACGAATAGATTGTCAAAAGACATGTTTAACCTCGAAAAGGTGTCATCAAAGCATCAACGTTTTTTTTTTAATTATTAGATACTATCTTTTCATACCAACGATATCATTGTCCAATTGATTTCGTAGGACGTTGAACGTGTCTTGTGATTCCGCTAGAAACCAATCAAATTCATTTCAATGTCATACATTCATTTCTCGTCTTACCATCGTCAGGTATACGATTGTTTTTCAACCATGTTCCACAAGCAAACTCAAAGAAATTTTCACAGGGATCAACTGTTTCGTCAATACTTTCCAAAATATAATTCGCTAGAAAAAATGATTCAAAATCGTTTCGACGTCGTCTCTTATTCACAAACATCTCACCTGCTTTCACACAATAGGGTGTTAAACATAACTCATCATTTGTTGCTAACATGAATTCGAGAGTTTTAGTCCAATATTTTGCTAAAGAAATGTTGCTTACCTATTGTAGTTGATGGTGTACTTTTCTTTGCATTGCCTAACAGAGCAGCTAGGACAATGGTTGAAATGAGAAGTGCTCCGACAAGTACACCAAGAGCAATAAACACTTTCCTATTCAATAACAGAATGAATATACTTTCCACTTTGAAAAAGAAAACTCCTATCGATTCTCCTACGTACATTTTCGTCGGATTTCTATAAAACAACTCTCTTAACATAATAACCGATAGAGCCTCTATGCCTTATTCTTCTTGTTTTTGTCAGAAAACTCATAATGACATTTTCTTCTCTCATTCCTTGATCATATAAATATTCATAATTATCAAATCGAAAGAATTTAACATCTGTATTCCGGATGAGAAATATTTTCGCTCCGACGCGCAAATTAGACAGAAAAACGATGACTTTCTTGTCCGACACGTCCCAGACCGTACTACAAACCTATTCAAATTCATAGTCTTTGAGATCAACGATGGTTAAAAGCTAAATTTTGAATCTTTTATCACAGAAGACAACGTTTTTATACCGTTGATAACGAACAATAAAAATCTTTTCAATGCTACCATAAAACTACTGCAAAAAAACAACTTTTTCAATATGTCAACAATCCATCATATATGATTAAGTAGATATTTATTATGACATTAATGACTGAGTTTAAGTTCGAGAAGCGTCTTGATGTGTATTTTCATTATAGCCTTGCAATACCTAAATCTCGATGTCAAAATCGCTTCTTGGTGAAGACAGTACGATGAGAGAAGTATGATTAACGTTGCATCTTACCAATCGACGTTCACCTTTGTAAAATTTACATAGTATCAACAAAGTTTTATTCAGTTTTACTAACATCAAATGTCAACGTATATTTATAAGAGAGTAAAACGAGTCGAATTAAGAATCCAATGATTGATGTTCACGTTGCAGTTTTTATTTGTATACTTAACCAAAACAAGTGACAGTATTAAAAAAACAAAGCATACGTCGTTTGGTTTTAACCGATGTGTGTATATCGCGTTTAGGCCAATCTATATGAGGAAGTTTTTCACTATAATCTGATTGAAGTATATGACTGGATGGAGATATTTGTTGTCGTTCGATCTGAATAAAAGATAATTTCAAAATGAATTTTGTTTTGTCTTTTAGTACCTGTCTTAGATGGTCGCTGATCAAAGCTAAACGATAATTTGATATGAGTGAATCTGGTGAGTATTGTAAAGTATATGTGAATGTAAGATCGATTTGATACATCGATAAAGTGAATATGATAACAAATGATAGTAATTGTTGATTTGCCATGAAATTATTTGGATTCCGAGAGAAGGGTGAAGTTTATCGATGAAAAAAAAACACAAGTGATTTCAGTTAGATCTGCGTGCTTACTCGATTATATATATCTAAAGCATGCGTTATGTAGGTAATTAAATAGCAGATAATCTTGCCATAATATGCGTGTTGATCCTTAGCGATTGACACCCACCTTCTTTGTTCAAGTTAGAAATAGATCTACCTTCACGTATGACACTTCTTCTTTCCAAGATTTCTTTTTTTTTATATAAAAGCTCGAGAAATGTGTGTTGTAATATCGAAATGAATATTTCATAAATGAGAGTAGAACAATTCTCTTTTGTATTATTTAACAAGGAGAAAAGTTATTGGTACGATGGAAAGATCTATTATGAGCAGAATCATTTATACTACCCACAATTGTTCGCCATCTGCATATATTAATAAATATTTCGATGCTATTCTTTAACCTGTATTCGAATAGAATGAAGTATGTCTTTCTTTAGACAATGACATCTATGTAATAAAAATCCATTGATTGCTGTTTTTAGCCACCTCCTCCACAGAAAAAAAGCCAGACATTAACCACACCAAAAGGACTAGTTCTATTAATAATGAAATAAGATTTATCATATCGCTCTTGTTCGACATAGATTTCCGAAAGAAATATTAATGAATATAAGTCTCAGTAGCACTGAAGTTACGAAAGAAATCTATGCCCTACATTCAAAGAAAATCATTCTTGTTCACTTAAAGTGAATATTCTCAAATGAATTTAATTGTAAAATTATTCAATATCGCACAAAAGCAGATTCACTATATGCGTCCGTGTATATTCTTGGCATTCTCCGAACAGCAACATATATGTATATAAAGTTTTCCAAAAAAAGAACAACCAGAACGAAACTTTTTTTGCTAACAAATCAATCGAAATAAAAACAAAGAGAATAAGAGTATTTATCATCGAAAAACGTCGCCTTGTCATTTCACATGTAAGTGAAGAAGCTCATCGGTACGAGTTAGAAAATGTTATTTGTTGGCTTTAGTAACAAGAGGCGGCGTTTGTTGAAAGAAAGAGAAAATGTAGGTTGTTTTCGGCAAGTTTGTTTACAATAAAAAAGAGAAAAAAAAACGATCAACAAGAAATATGATTTAGCAAGAGAAAGATAAACTAGATCACTTGTCTTTGCGAGCATCAGTTGTGGTTTCACCATCACTATCTTCACTGTCACTTCTTTCATCTTTTCTGACCTAGGACAAAAACGAAACGAATATCAGATGAAGACGAACGTAAGAATATGTGCATACTTTGCCGGCTTTCAGCGCCGATATTGCCACTTGACAAATAAGATAAAACCAGAAATAATGAAGAATTTGAAGAAGAATTAAAAGACCATTGAATACATAATAAGCAGGAAACAAGCCAAGGATATTTAATTCCTCAAATGTTGTAGTATACAGCACTCTAAACGAAACAAATTTCTACGATTTTCAATCTAAACAACAAAGAAGAAAATTCGGTCACGTCTGTTAGTGTAACCTTGAAGTGTGAAACGTGTCCGATGCAATCGAAGTGCACATATTACCAGACACTGTTATCTTTTATAACTCATACATATTTGTTAATCGATACGTACTTGTATGGATAGTAACAAAGACGTGTTATAAACCATACTAGTGCAAATACTCCGAATGATGTATCACATATTTTTTGTGCTTTAGCATATTTCGCCATTTTTGCACACTGGAAAAATAACACATATATGAAAGAGTTTATCTATTTTTAGTATCGAATGTAAGCATTTACCTCCAACCAGTAATCTCCGCAGTCGTGTATGACGAGTACCAGCGCTCCAATACGAACAAAATTGACAATGTAAGAAAATGAAAGTAGTGCTATTGTAGCGATATGATGAAGAAACATTTGCCAGAAATCTTTTCGTTTAACATCGATAAATTGTGAAAAGACTAGTGACCAATAGAATGCAAGTTCAATCATGTAATACCAAAACACATCGTTTGTTAAACGATGATTAGGATAATTTAACCAGCAGTGACGAGTGTCCCAAATCCATGATTTCTAAAAAAGAAAAAAACTTCTTGGAAAGACTTTTGAGACATGTGCACATGTTTACATCGTTCAGAATTACAAGTCCGTAGATAAACACGCTTAGATAGAAAATAAAACGCCAAAATGATTCACTAAATTTTGCTAAGGGAGGTGTATCATGTTTCAAACGTTTGGAAAACTCTCGTATAGAAAGCGATCGTCCAATTGGTTGAGCAATATATCGTTCAAATAAAAGTCTTAGAATATAAAGTACACCGGCCAATGGATAGACGTACAAAAGGTCCTGAAAACGTGGTACGCGAATACCCTGTTGTTCGAGTTCGACGAAATCTCTCCAAGTTGTATTTCTTGGCAGCCAGAAATGTTCATTCCACATATTGAAGAGAAGAAAGCAAGAAAAACACCAGATTTAAATCACATATTTTAATAAAATGACCATTTGCATACTTTTAAATCATGATCTAAAATAGATTCGCACCAAAACAAAAATGAATGTATGATAAAAGCTTTTTTTCTTTAGCTGTTTGCTATCTTGCTCAGTTTGAGTTCTCCGTTTTCTTTTTCTTCTGCTTCGACTGTCTGGCTGTCCATCGTTGACGAGAGAGGGCCAATCAAGAAAGAATTCTGATGGCGCTAGTGAAGGTTACGTTTTCGGCGAAAATCTTTTCATTGGTTTTCAAAAATAAATAACTGTCAAAGACAAGACTTAACGAAAATTTTTATCATTACAAATCGATTTCCAATGCGAATGATCCGAACAAATATCTCGATAGCGTTTGATGTGCATGTGTGCAAGATCATATCTTTCTTTTTTTTTGTTATCTATAAGCTGATTGTTTTCTCCTTTCAAGACAAATAAACACATACTTGTTGAAGTCATGAAAGAACAATGAAGAAGACATTCGAATACGATAATAATCTACCATCATTGCCATTGCCAACATTGGAACATACACTTGAACGTTATCTTGATTCTGGTACATAGAAAGAAAAAGCATCGCGAAATTCTATATCTTATCTTTAGTACGAGCCGTTGTTGATGAGAATGATTATGCTAAAACAAAGGAAATCGTTGAACAATTTGCGAAAGGAGTTGGACGAGAGTTACACGAACAATTGAAAGCCAGAAGCAAGGCGGAAAATGGAAGAAATTGGGTAGGATTATGTATGAAAATGGAAATTACATATGTGTTGATGTCATTAGTTAGCAAAATGGTGGGATGAAGAAATCTACTTTAAATGGCGTTTACCCATAGCACCGACTATAAACATGATAGGTTTCAGTTGTTTGATACCACCAAAAGCCGGTTCTCAACTTGAACGAACATGTGTACACATGCATGCATGCGCTCTTGTTTTCCAAAATATTCGCGAGTACATTTGAAAAAATGGTATACAGGATAAATCAAGAGTAAAACCAAGTTTTCTTTTTAAGAGAACGCTACCCGATATCATACATGGGTAAATATCCGTTGACGATGTATCAATATAAGCATTATTTTAATACGTGTCGAATTCCACATCGAGGGTGCGATGAACTATCGACGCACTTTCGGACAGGATAGTGGAGATAAAAGGAAAGTTTTATCATGTTCGTTTTTATCCTATAGTCTCAGAAGATGAGAACTCACCACCCACCCATGTTGTGGTCATCCGTAATGGTCTCATGTATACGTTCGATCTCTATCAAGCGGGCGAACTTTTATCACCACCAGAAATTCTACGAAGGTTAGAAGATATCATGGGACGAAGCGAACATAAGTCCGGACTTGGTTTAGGTGCATTGACAGCATTGCCACGTGATGATTGGGCGGATGTGCGTGATCATCTATGTCATTTAGATGAACGGAATCGAAGAAATCTACAAACTATTGAGCAAGCATTAGGTGTTTATGCATTTGATAATGAGAATGTGGAAAATTTAACCGAGGTAAAGTTTGTCCATGAAAATTTCCATAGTAAAGTATAGAAATCGGTTAGGCTGCCGGCATTGGTATGTTGAAAAATCCTCAATCACGCTGGTTCGATCGATCGATGCTGTATGTGGTCACTCGTAATGGTCTTGTTGTGACAAATAGTGATGTAAAGATCATTTTATTATCGATTGTTCATATTAGATATCTTCTACATTACAGCATTCCGCTTACGAAGGCATTATTCCATTGCAAATCGGTGACCTTATTCAACAGCATATAGATTCACTTGAGCAAAGAACTTCCTGTCCAGTATCTGCTGTTCCCTATGACCAAAATGTAGTTCAAGAATTGATCTTTACATACGATGACTCGATCACAACTTCTATTGATCGTGCAGTCAACCTATTCAGCCGTTCAGTTGCCGATATCGATCTTCTAGTAGTCAATGTAACCGAATGTTCAAAAGAAGACATAAAGCAGTATGTCCGCATGCATCCTGATACATTCTTTCAATTATGCCTTCAATTAGCTTATTTTAAAACGCATAACTATAAACCCGCAGCGACGTATGAAACTGCAGCTACACGAAAATTTTTTCGTGGTAGAACAGAAACATTGCGAACATGTACAGTGGAGGCGCTTGCATGGTGTCGAGCAATGACTAATCAACACGATCGATATACCGTAATGTTGACAGTTCTGTATCTATTATTGTCATGTATCAATTGATTGATAGGACAAAGATCGGAGAAAATTGTTTCATCTTGCTGCTAAACGTCATCAGGAACTGATGAGTGAAGCCTCAGAGAATCAAGGTTGTGACCGGCATTTATTTGGTTTAAGTATGATCGCATATATGACCGGACAGCCTTTCGAACTGAGTAAAGATCCCTCGTGGACAAAAAGGTATAAGAAAAGAAATCCAGATTTCATGAGTTCTGTAACCGGTGTGCTTTCTAGTGGTGGCAGTGGTAATTTTATATTGTCAACGAGTTGTATTGGTTTCAGTACGACTACTGGTGGAACAATGGCAATGTGTTGGAATGGTTATGGCGTTTTCTATCGATTTGGCAAAGAGGCGTAAGTTGAAAATATCGGATCAGTTAGATTATTATCAACTGTCTATGCACTATAGAACAACATTCGTGGTCACAGCTTATCGAAATTGTCCGGATACGAATGCTCAAATACTGGCAGATTCAATCAAACATACTTTAATCGAAGTGAAAAATTCGTTTATGACATCTAATTTATAGATAAACATTCCAGTTAATCGAATATGATTCTCCGTTGATTTTTAAATAGAATCAAGTACATTCACTATCTTTTGCGGTAACTCCTCTCAACCATTAGATTTATTTAAAAACACGCAGAGTAAGAAAGAAAAAGATCACAACCGGGTAAGAAATTAAATGTTCAGTAATTACAGTCCAATTCAATCAATCTGTTGATAGCTGTCCGATTTTATTGATAGTGCTTGTTGTAGTTGATTTAATGCATGATTCAATTGATAGAATGCAGGTCGATCGTAATCGTATTTCTGCCAACATGATAAAATTAAATCTGTTAAATCGTTCGCACAAGACGGGATTGTTAAAGAATGACATGAATGTTGTAAATTATAAAGAACTTGTTCATCATCTAATAAACTATGTGGTCGTTCGACTAATGTTAACATTTCCCAGAGAAGAACTCCAAACGAAAAGACATCAGATTTTGAAGTGAATTGATTCTAAAAGAAAATTCCGAAATTAACGTTCACTTGTCAAAACAAACTGTGCCTTCTTACCAAACAGATTGTCTCCCAAGCACACCATCGTATCGGTCTTCGTGTGTGTGTACTGTCAGTGCCAACGGACGATACCAGAACATAATCATCGGCATACATTTCATTACACATGGCGAGATCGTAGAGTTTTATGTTAAGATTTAATGAAACTAAACAATTTCGTGCCGCTACATCTCGATGGCAGATACGTAAAGATTCTAAATAAGCTAAAGCTGACGAGACTTGTGAAGCAAAGAAAACGGTGGTGGTGTATAGTGCTGAATCTTCGGGTTGTTCATGTTTGTGATGTTGGAGATATTGATAGAGATCCACTGATGAACTATCAAATGATTCAGTTAAGAGAGATATGGTGGGTTCAGAGCAAAAGCCGTAAGCATGGACAATATTTGGATGGCAGAGAGATGTCAGCAGGCTAATTTCGTTGTAGAAAGAAATTCTAAAACGGAAAGATCAACAGAATGAAATCGTCTCGATCGGACCAAATGATATACTTTGATTGTACGGATGCATTCGAAAGTAAACGACGGATGGTGATCGGTAGTAATGATTGATTCACTTGCAGTGTTCCATGACAGATCTGAATCGAAACGAGCAATGATCTACAAGATGTTTAACTCCTTAGAAATCGACTTTTACCTCTCCTCCTCCAAGGATTTGATGTCGATTTTCAAATCGTTGTGTTATAGTAATATGATGACTTGGTATAAATTGATGCTGATCTGTATCAAATGTAAATACTCGTTGTGATCCGTAGGTACTATTACCACAGACGCCTTCAATGTGATACTGTTGAGTTAAGGATGGTGATCGTATTAAAGTTGTTGGAATCAATTTTGCGTATGAAGGACATACGAGGTTTCCTCCTTTCGTTGAAAGTGAGTACGGACTCATTGGTCCAATGGTGGCATAACGATGATGCGAAGAAGTCGCATCTATTTCGCTTGATGTTGTCGATGCAGATGAATCTGTTTGATTGTGCATTGGTGAAAGGTAAGATTTCTTTCGATCCGAATAGTTCTTGGTTAGGGATCGAATTAAACAAATGATAATGATTAATATGACAATCATAATCATGATTAATATGCCAATAAGAATTAAAACCGATTGTGATGTTTGTTCTGTTTTAATTGGCGTTTCCGTTGAAACAACAAATGAATCGAATGTCATTTCACTGATTAATATCCAACTACTATCGAAATAGAAGTGAATTTTTAATTGCGAAGCGATTTGATTTTTTAAATCAATCATAATTGGTCGAGCCATTTCAAATTGATCATCGCGTTGATGATGATAGGTTAGAAATGTCGAATTTTCATCGTGAACAAATTCGAGGGCTACTGAACGAAAGACATAGATCTTCTTTGGAAAGTAATTATTCGCATGGATCGTTAAACGTGAAAAATTGCGTAGTGTATCAAATTTGAACAAAATTCCAATTGAATAATTCTGCTTAGCAGAACGTGGTCGACGCCATCCAACCTTGACAGCACAACAGATATTCAAGATTTGTTTCTCGAATAGGAAAAAATAAACATTCTTACCCATTGAAGTCCACCAAGATCTTCATGATTGTCAGGTCCCGTCTGACCATCGGACAATTGTCCCAAACCATCTAAATAAATATGAATATAAACTTGTTTCTACAATCGAACTCGTCTTTTACCATGTAAAAAACGACGGTTCTCATCATATTGTCCATCGTATGTATCATCTTCCAGTTGTCTAGCACCTTGTAACATATTGTACGAAATCACACCATCAGTAAACACACATCCAAACAATTCGATTTCGATACAAAGATTTACTTTTGTTTGTTTCACTTGTATGCGAATGTATTTTGCTATGATAGGTGGATTCAGATGCATTTTTTCATCTTTGTGATTCATTAAAGGATACGAACGCCATGCCGTATGCTCATCAATCGAATTATCACGTGTATATTCGAGATAATAATGCATATCCGATATTTCGGCTTTGGCAGTCAAACGTGTAAGATATGTTAGATTTGATAATGAAAAAATTAAGTATCGGTCATGATCGGATGACGAAGGACACCAAGTGTTTGATGTAAAATCGGTACTACTTGTGAGAATTTTCGATGCTGATAGTAGAGGAGTTTGACAGGAATTAAGACTCTCTAAAGTTCGACAAAGTTGACGAATTTGTCATTCATTTGAAATACTTACTTAATTCCATGGAGTTAGCCATCATTCCACAGTTGAATACCAGAAGTAATATGATTCTCCGCATATTTCGTGTGTCTGTTCACTTGCAGGGAAGAGGAAAATCAATATGTATCTAGAATATCACATCGATCGTTATTTATATATGTATCTCTACATGAACGTATGGGAAAAGAGAACGAAGAAGTCCAATCAATTGTCTATATTAACAGGTGTCTGTTAGAATACGAAATGAATCGAGTCAGATGTTGAAGATTTGATATTCAACCATTTATCACTGTTGATATCAAGTGTAAAATTTGGACGTTGTTTGTGTAAAGATGGCATTTCTGATAAAAAAAAAAGAATCATCCTGTATCAACATCTGATTGAATAAAATGCTAATCAAACTGATATCCTACTGAGTAACAATGACATGCTGATTGGATTAGTTTAGACGGGACAAGGGGGTGGAGAAACGTTTAAAATGAAATTATGCTTGTATATGGGCTTCATATGTCTTATGAGAACGAACTACTCGTCATGTTACGCAAATGAAGTTCAAGTCTTGATAAATGATTTCATTTCGTGATGTATACGTAAGTGAACAAGATTAGGGAGAAAGGGAGAGAAGACGAAAAAAACGAGAATCGAGTGCATGCATACATCTTATCCAATGCATTGTGAACACAGAAGAAAAGCAAATGTAGGTTTCACTCATATCTTATTCTTTTCAAGTAGAGAATGTTTTGCGATGTGCTGGTCAATGAATAGCCTTGATGACCGATGCACAGCAGGCATCGAATGATTGATGAGCCATTCGAAAAGTGGCCTTTATGTGATGAGCGAGCGCGTTATTGTAATTAACCGAAAAAGTTTCTTAGCTTATCAAAAAAAAAAGACAAAGATAATTGAACATTAAGAATATTGATTCGTGTAGAATATTTTAAGCCTGATGAGAAGATTAACCTTGACACGAAGTGAAGGAACAGAGAAGAATGATAGATAGTCTAATTAGACATACCGAATTCGTGTTTCAAACTCGCACTGAACGTTTACTTACTGACTGTGCACTTGTACAAATTCTGTCTGTCTGTCTGTGTCGTTCTCTTGTACAATGGGATACAATAGAATGAAACAATTATATCTTGTATGTCTGTTCATTCACAATCAGTTCTATTTGAAATTCAAGAAGAAAATAGTGCTGTCAAATTTTGTTCTTGTATAATCAAGTGTGTATGCGATTTCTCTTTCTCTTTAATGATGTTCGAAATAAAAGAAAGAATAATACGACGAAATAGATAACACAAACAAAACTGAACGAAATGTTTGTTCTACACTTGAAATCTTCATGAGTTCATAGAACAATTATCGATCAGACAGACATTCTCAAGGTAAACTCGAGATGTTATCTGAAGAGAAAGGAGAATTTGTCTATTTACGTTTGACTTACATCAATGGCAGAACTGTCTATAAATACAAACATACTAATATGACAAAAGAAAGAAAGAGACAGACAAGACTCTTCGTACATGTTGCTATTTTCTCGAAAGAGAAGAATAGAACAATGTTAGACTTTAATTATGTTGAAAGAACTATCTCAAAGTGGTGCTTGAGTAGTTACTTGTCCAAAAAAAAAATGTAACAGAGGGGAAGAGAATATTTGCCAGAAATCTGTTCACCTTGGAGTCGAAGATGCAAATATTTAATATGAAGAATAGTCTCTCGTTTCTCTTACCTGTTTAAGTCGGAAGTGAACGAGAAAGAGCAACGTTTTGTCTGTCTTTTCTCGCCGAGGAAAATGATGAACACTCGTTACAAGCCACACACTCGGTAAGAACAAAAGAAACTAATCTTCAACAAATCTAACTTTGCGTGCTAAGTTGAATAAAAGTAAAATTGAAGATTTAGATTAATAACAACAAAATGGAACAAACACCTGTCGGATAGCTCGTGCATGTAAAACACATGTGAGAAATTGTTGAAACATGAAATTTAATGTCTAAATGTAAGCGTCCGATGAAATAGAAAAGAAAAGTCGTTCTTCTGTTTGGTATATAGATGAAAGTCAATCTGACCATTTCTTTCTCTATTCTCCGCTCTTCATCGCCTTCACAGACAGATGGACAGTCTCACTCTAATCGATGTAATTAATGTCGCGACACGATCCATAAATTAGAACAGAGTGTCTCAATGAGAAAAGAAAAATTGCCGATACGTATCGAATACAAACACAGAAATACTCTACGTACGATGTATTAAATTAACAACATGAATATTCTTGAGGAAGCGACTCCAAAAAAAAAAAGAGAAGAATTGACATCTGTCGTAAATCTTTCAGTGACATGACCTTGCCATTTACCTACTTTTGAGAGTAGCATAATGCTGCTACTGTTGATGATGAAGATGAGATAAGGAAACAAAGTGTAAACGAGTGAATGAATGTCATTGATACCATGTGAACAGAAGAGAAAGAGAGGGAGCGTACTATCTGATTGTAAAAGAATGAATACGAATCATTCTTTCGTTCATTGTCCTCAAGCAGACTATTTTCTTCTTGATCTATATCAAAAATGCATAGAAGCGGGAAATGGAACGTGTTTGCCCGCTGTCCATTTCGATGTACATCGTGTTAAGAGCGAGCTCATAAAAATCAAGTCGGTTAGGCTTGGAGCTATAATCAATCTGATATTCTCGTATGGACATGATTTATATTTTCATTTTCTCTGATCTTGTTCACTCGACTGGAAAACAAATCTCGATCTTGACAAGAGAATGAGACTATGGAAGGATAAATTCTGTCTATGACATCATATCAATTAGATGAATGTTGTTATTCTATCCAATTGACGATACATAACAAGTCTCTTCCGAAGACCATGAAGAATAATTATCAGTTCTAATGAAGTTATGACTTTATATTATTCTCATTCATTGATTATCTAGGAAAATATTGAAGAGCACTAGAAAGAAAAGAAGTTTAGCTTTGAATTGTGCATGATGTTGCATAAAAGGAAAGTCATCAACTATCTTCGACAGCAGATTTGTCACTTTTTTTTGACAATATTTCACTCTTTTAATAATACGTCGATGATAGTTATGTGTTTGATAAAGGTTAATCAATGATATTGACAATGATGAAAAGTTGAACTCTTTGAATGATGTCAATCAAAATTTTGTTGTTTACATTTCGGATAAGCTCATCGATGGCGTTTGATTGCATTTTTATAAATGACATGTAATATTCCGATCAATGACAGTCTTTTTTTTTTGGCGAGATAATAACCTTGACTTGTATCTAATCAACATTGATAAGATCAACAAAATTAATTGCTGAGTATCAATAAGAAGAGAAAAAAAAAAGAAAACGTCATGTTGGTTATTTATATATCAAATCTGACGATCAACAATGCTGTGCGGAAGTTCATTTATTATTAAATATTCTCGGTGATTTATTCAATAGGAACGACAACGTATTAGACGTTTATTGCTGAAGAATTACGGCAAGACCGACATGATTTTGAGATTTTACAATCTATTATCATTGATGAAAGTATTTATGTAGAGGTGTGAACTATTAAAAACGATTTCTCGAATGTCAGCCTTCGTTTGTCTGTTGTATTTGAAACTGTGCTTTCCACAAGAGTGGGAGAATCAAACATTTACATGAGCCTTTTAAAATACGAACTTGACTAATCATTTTAAATCTCAACTTGATCTTTGCCGTATTTGCATGAGTAAAATTAGGTAAGTTATAATTATCATTTGGAATTGTGGCATGCAGACACTTTCTGACAGGATCTCAAGTCAAAGTCGCAGTGTGTCTTCCATATGTATCATTCGAATTACAATCAAATCACTACAACTGACAACATCAGTATGACGAAACTTATCGTCAGATTTTGCAGAGACTCGTAGTGTTAGTCTTGCTTGTCATGTCAGAGTATCACCGAAAACGCAGTGACAATTCGATAGAGGAATACTTCCGAATGAAATACATTAGAACAAGTTGTTCTTCGAGTTCTACACACGTCATCAATCTGTACGTTATCGTTCGGAATTGATCAACAGTTTCGTGCTGGATTTAGCGAAACTGCAGGTCCAATAATGACAAATGTGAATAATGCATGTACAATTGCTGTACTTACCAGTTATGAGCCAGAAATCTGTGATAGTAGCGCAATATTTGCTTGAATCTCTTTCTTTACAGACAAGGTGACTTTTCTTTTTTATTCTGTCTGTCGTAGGAAAAATTGAACAATTCGCTGTTTCAAATTTGACAATGGTCTACGAAAAAGACTTCCACCAGTTAATGTATAAATATAGAATGGCATTGCACTTGCTAGATATGTTAATAATAAGAGAATATTGTAGACAAACATATCAATAGTCGTCTGTAGTTCAGAATGATGCATGTCAACAAATGCGGCATATAGTCTTATAATTGCTTGTGGAAGAGTTAGCAAACCAAGAGCAATAATTTGTGTACAAAGCATTCGTAAAAGATACCGTTCAGTTCTTTTCGATCGTTGTTCTCCTGTTCGAAATATTCGCTGTTGACTTTGATGAAAATTGAAAATTGTCATTAAACTAAACATCGACATTAAAAGTAAAGGTATGATAATTGTGAATAATGCAAATGTCAGATCGGTTACAATTTGACATAATGATGATTTCGTATAGCATGGAAATGGTGCTCGTACGAGATTAGCTTCGTAACAATAAAATAGCTGAGCATACATTATTACTGACATTAATATAACAGTAAGTGTTGCATATCGAACATTTTTCATTGTATTTAATCTACGCTGATGATTGTATACAGAGGATGACAACCATCTGTCGATAGTTGAAAGAACGAAAAGCCAAAATACGATCAGACGTGTTGCAAATACAAGAAATGTTCGCAGCTTACAGATCCATCCTATTGTATAAGTTGGATCCGATGCCCAACCAGCTAACATTCGGGTAATAAGACCGAGATCAATCGAGATCAAACTTGAAATAGACGCAATTAAAAACAAGAAAACACATGGAATGTGACGAAGTGTTCGATCGGAGAGAATGACTATGTTCAAAATATTGCCACAAGTACCGAAGATAAAGATGAATATAGCGAAGTAGCGGTTAATTTGATCTGATATATTAATCAATAAGTCGATAGTATAATTCGTTTCACTTTGATACATTTGAGAACAAGAAAAAAAAACATAAGTTTACGGAGTAAAAGGACAAACGTTCTATTGTTATTTATGATCTTTTTTATGAACTAAATCATTAAGAGATACTTTTTCCCCGTTTAAAGTTGCCAATTGGAAAACAGAAATAAATCATGGCACTCATTTGAATAGAGTTTCAGTTCAGCTATACTTTGCTATATTATAGATTTTCGTCGCATTCGGAATCAATGCCATCAATTCTGAAATTTTGTGAAGCTATTCACTATCGCATATGTAAACGACTTCCACTAGAGTAATACTCGTATTATCTACAAGAATGAAACTTTTTCCAATGAATATTATCATCATTTATTCGTATCTGTACCGAAATACTTCTAGTGAGATAAATAGCCGGTCCAGCAATCTGACCCGATATACGAGTATGCCAATATTTATTTCTTGGATCAATATGATCATGAAAATAGACAGTTATTCATTTACAAATAAGCGTACTTTGTACGTGCTCACACACGAACAGCTTGACTACAGTATACGAAAGGAACGAGTCTTGTTACAAGAACTGTGTGAAGCAGTTAAATATCATACCGGATTCTACTTCACAAGATATTTAGTAAAGAGACGATGATATTATGATCTGTCACAAAGTTGTCACATTGCTAGATAAACGAGATATGTACCATCATATGCCGTGAAAACACATGAACTGTATATAGGAGTTCGACTGACGGTAAGTTTTCGATTTGATTTACGTTTTACAACTTTCGTTGCGTTGATTCTGTGTGAGAAAAGGATGACGTGATTCACGAAAACGTTTTAACCAATGAAATAGTTGTACTGTACTAACTAATGAAACGTAGTTTCGTTTTACCCAATAGTAACGTATTTCGTACAGCCAGTTTTCCTCATCTTTGAAAACACATATAGATATTCTACTGATTTGGTTGATTCAAAATGTTTCGATCTTATTTAAGTAAGATATTAAAATGTGGTACACATTTTCTTCAATTCGTAATATAGATCCGTCGTCAGTTCGATCGACTTGTCGATTTCTGTCTTCTTTACCCACATATGAAACTTTAAAATTAAGTCAACCTAAATCTCATGTGATTCTTGTTGAATTAAATCGACCAACGAAGCTTAATGCAATGGATAAGCAACTATTCGAGTACGTTGTCTTATTCTACTTTCATCAATAACAATAAAACTATCTAAATTCTTTCCACAGTGAATTGAAAACATGTTTTGAACATTTAAATACGGAAAAGTCATGCCGTGCAATAGTGTTAACTGGTACAGGCAAAGCATTTTGTGCTGGTAAAATTCTTTCTTTCCCAAATGTTTCACGAGTTTCCAAATAAATCATTTCTATACAGGTATTGATTTGAAATATTTATCAAACACGACTGTTAATGAACTCAGTCAGATCGATGATGTTGCTCGCAAAGCATTACACACACGACGAATGATTCAAAGAACGCAAGCATCGCTACGAGCAGTCGATAAAGTAAATCACACAGACTTATTCTCTCATCCGAATAGATAAATTGCAATATTTAGTGTGAAAAACCAGTGATTGCTGCCGTTCACGGGCATTGCATTGGTGCAGGTGTTGATCTAACAGCTTGCTGTGATATTCGTTACAGTTCACGTGATGCATCATTTTCCGTCAAAGTAAACAGATTTCTCCAAACAAGGTTCTCGAACACTCAGTTTGCATTCTTCTAGGAAGTCGACATGGGCTTGGCAGCCGATGTTGGTACTCTTCAAATCTTTCCAAAACAAGTTATTGATCACAGTCTATTTCGCGAGCTTGTATTTACGTCGCGACTATTCAGAACAGAAGAAGCACAACAAATCGGTCTGATTAGGTAATCAATTAAGATAGGAATTCAGACGAAATGAAAACAATATTTTAGCCGTGTATTCGACACTCGTGATGCTCTTCTCGAAGCTGCTGTATCACTAGCAAGTGTTATAGCTCGTAAGAGTCCTGTCGCTGTCCAAGGTTCCAAAATCAATTTGAATTATGCTCGTGATCATACAGTTGACGATAACTTTTCTTTTGTGGTATGTCCGATGAAAAGAAGATGATCTACTCGAGAATATGTTTTGTTCAAATTTGTTTAGAGTACATGGAATAGTGGAATGTTGCTTACAGAAGATATCATTAAAAATGTCATGGCTGCGTCCGTATCGAAAGACAAAAGTAACAAAGATGCATCCGATGGCGCCGAATTTGAGGATATTTAACAGAAAAATGCAACTAAATTAAGTATCTTTCTTGTCTCACGCACAAAATTTTGCCGAAATTTCTAAGTGACGTTTAATCGCTCGATGTAATTCATTCTGTTGTTCTTTTTTATACCCAAACGTTCTTTTACCAACTAACTGCTCTTGTAATAAACGGCTCTGTTCATCCAGACGTGTTTTTATATCCATCATATACGCATGTCGATTGGCTGAACGACGTTGATTTCCCATCGCTATTGTCATTTGTCGACGCTTTGGATGATACTCTTTTTTCTCTAGTTGTGCGAGTAAATTTTGAAAATGGTTTATTTCAGATCCGTATTCTTGTGTAGAATTTCGTTGTTGCAATGTTTGATCGCGATCTTTGCTCATAAAACTCGTATAATGATAGATTGGTTGACAAGGATACAGCGAGCAGTGACATGGTGAAAGATGACAATGAGATTGTATCGGAGGTAATTTAACATTTTCTGATGGTATTATTACATTTTCTTTATTCATTTCTACTGTGTCTATCGATGGTAATGAATGATGGTTTTGTTCGTTCGCGATTTGTTGAATTGTATAATCGAGAATTTCTTTTCGTTGTTGCTCGATTTGATATTGTTTTTTTGAATGTTTCAGATTTTGTGCATACTCATGCGTTAAAGCATCCAAATCATGCGACAGCAGTTGATTACATCGATGATATAGAGTCGTTTGATGATGGCGAATATGCCGTGACATTCGATCAAGATATTTTAACTGTTCGACGGATCGTCTCATTTTGACATAGTTTCAAAAAAAGAAAAAATTGTTCGGAACGAGAAAAACAGAAATGCATCATTTTTCTGACTTATTAAGATTCTAATAATATCGAGAATAAGTGTCATTGCTCCAGTCAAATAGGAATCCTCACAAATGTTATTATTACTTGTCAAAAATAACATTTGTGAAACGAACGAATTTGAAGTATAAACGATAAGCACCCTCGATGATTTGTGACATGTTTTTTAGATGGTAACATGTTTTCATTCGAATCGCTTGTATTTATTCAAGTCTATTTGTTATAATGGGTTTATCTCATTCAAATACTACTCTCGTATACCATCGATTGTTCGTTACCGAGCACAATCTAAAACTTTAGTCACACAAAAGATCGATTCACCCGAATATAAAACTTTATTGACACCATCTTTATTGAAATTAGCTGACTTATTCAAAGCGAATCAATATGAATTGCGCATGGCTGGCGGTGCTGTACGAGATCTTCTAATGGGTATTCGTCCACATGATATAGACTTTGCCACGACAGCTACACCTGATCAAGTAAAACAAATGCTATCCGATGCGGATATTCGAATGATTAATTCCAATGGTGAAAAGCATGGAACAATCACAGCTCGTCTTGATGATAAAGAAAATTTTGAAGTGACAACATTGAGAGTCGATGTTGTCACAGATGGACGACATGCCGTGGTCGAATATACTAAAGATTGGCAACTGGATGCTAGCCGAAGAGATCTCACTATCAACGCTCTTTTTCTCGGTTTGTTTTCATTTAAAATCGTTTGGAACTATTCGAATTAGGTTTTAGATTTGGAAGGAATTGTTTATGATTATTTCAATGGTATCGATGATCTAAAACATCGTCGCATTCGGTTTGTTGGCGATCCAGTCAAACGTATACGAGAAGATTATCTTCGTATAATTCGATACTTTCGGTACGTGGATTTCATTTGATTGATGAAGAACTTTTCATTGATTTCAATCAACAGGTTTTTTGGTCGACTTGCCAATGATAATGCCGTACATGATGAAGAAACATTGAAAGCTATTCGAGATAACGTCGATGGATTAAATAGTATGACACAGAATAGGAGATATTCATACAATCAATGATGATCCTATTTCAGATATTTCTGGTGAACGTCTTTGGATCGAATTAAAACGTATTGCGGAAGGACGAAATGCAGGTCCAGTTTTGAAAGCGATGCTTGAACAGAATACTGGTCAATATCTTGGTACATTTCTTTTTTTAAATTTTATGTTAAACAGGATAATATTGCTGACTGTCTTATTTAGGTATACCCACTAATTGCAATTTGAATCAGTTAGAAGAACATTGGAGAAAGTGCTATCAAGCGAATCCACATGCGTTAACTATATTGACAAAACTTTTTCGTAATATGGATGAGGTGAATAATCGAAAGTTAAATTTAATATAGTTGTTGACATCTGATTCCGCTTAGATATAGTAAATTCCTACTTTTTTTCTCTTGTTTAGTTAGTCACATTTGAAAAGCGTATGCGGTATTCGAATGATTGTCGTCGTTTAGCTCAACTATTAGTCGCATTTCGTGATTCCATATTTCCGCTCAATTCAACATCGGCTGATTCTTTGAAACCATACAAAGATCTTCTTGCTGACTTGTCTGTATTCGATCCAGATGTCAAAGAGAAAATACTAGAACTACTCAAATATCAACATCATCTAAAAGAAGCTCAACAGCTTGCTGATTGGACTTTACCACATTTTCCCATCTCTGCAGGAATGCTTGCATTGAAGCGCGTCAAACAAGATGGTAATTACAAGATAATTATGAATGAACTTCGAGAGGCATGGAAGAAGTCAGATTTTCAAGCAACGGAAAAACAATTGCTCGATGAAACATTACCCATCATTTTGAAGACTTTGCCAACTACTATTGCTACAATGGCTAGTCAAGAGAATAAGAATATGATCCCACCAGTATATACAATTCCGAAGAAACGTAAAA